AGGCACCACCTAACCGCCTCCCTGAGGGCAAGCAACTCCAGCACCATCGGATCATCCACCTCCGGAAAAAGAATTCCTTTCACGAGCCAAACTTGCCTTGACGGAGTTAGCAGAACAATCCCACCCGCACCATGCGACCCCCTTCTCACTGCCCCATCCCATAAACAGACCGCACAATCATCCGCAGCACTGCCAACAGGGAGGGTCCCAGGAGGCATCACCACCGGGGAACCCGTCCGGGAGGGCCTGTCCTCAGGCAACTGCACCCACTCCTCATACTGCTGATGGAATTGCCGCATCAAAGCTGGGAAATCATACTGTTTGCCTTCAAAAACAACCCAGTTTCGCGACCGCCAAATCCTCCACAGGACAGCCACCACGGCCATTAATAAGGCAGGTTGGTGAATCCGACCCAAAAGTTGCTTCAGGAACATGGGGAAGGTATGTCTAGGAAGTCCCTCCCCTAGATAATCCAGGCCAGAATGCACCCAAAGGGTACGAGCCACAGAACAATCCAGGAACAAGTGCTCCATTGATTCCGCAGCATCCCAGCACACCGGACACCTGGGATGCACCTGGATCCGTTTCTCAATAAGGGCCTCCGTAGTAGGCAAAATTCGATTAAGGATCTGCCAAAGAAAAACTTTCAGCTTAGGCGGAATATCCGCATCCCACACACGAATCCAAGACTCCTTATCCATCCAACCCACTGAAGCTCTCCACCCCCCTCTTCTTCTATCCATATCCACAGCTAAATGATAAGCCGATTTTACCGTGAAGACCCCATCCCTTGTACCGTGCCAGATCACCCTGTCCCTAACATCGAGTCTAGGGAGAGGGATAGCTTTAATGGCTTTACAGGTAGGGGGATCAAACCAACGACTCAGCTTGTCATCATCCCATCCACCTCCCCCCGGATGCATGACCTCTGCCACGGGGGGATCGCCCCCAACCGGCAGGACCATAGGATTATAAAAAGGGGGATTGTGCTGAAGTCGCGGAATCCAACTCGAGTTAAGCAACGACGCAGTCTGGCCATTGCCAATCTGCCACCGTAGCCCCTGTACCAGTAAATCCCGACCAAAGAGGATACTCTGCCACCCCCACGACGGGCGGGACCGAGCTTTGGCTTCGAGGAACGACCCGTTAGGGAAGTACTTGCCTTTGTAAACTTTTGCCAGAAGGGACTCAGGTTCCATCAGGATACGCCACCCAATCTTAGCCAATAGAGCCTGATTGAATTGCTCAAACCGACGAAATCCCAATCCCCCCTCATGCTTGCTACGGCACAGACTACGCCACGAGATCCATCGCACTCTGGAGTGATCCTCTTCATCCCCCCACCAGAACCTGGCCACATGTCTATCCAGGAGCCGACATAAAGCAAGGGGTAGCTTAAAGCAGGACATCACATGTAAAGGCAAGGCAAGAGCAACCGATTTAATCAAGGTTTCCTTCGCCGCCCATGACAACGTCCTCCTTTTCCATCCCTGAAGACGTTCCAGCAGTTTCTCCTCCAGATATCGGAACGTGGCCATCTTGGATCGCGCAACGAGGGTAGGCAGACCAAGATATTTATCATGCACCCCTACCGCCCCCACTCCTAAAATCGCAGCCAAAACTCCTGATCAGCCCGGACAATATTCTTGCTGAAGCATACAGCTGACTTGGCCAAATTCACTTTCTGGCCACTCATTTCCTCATATTCGTTCAGAACCTCAATCAAATTCTCACATTCCCTGAGGGTGCCTCGTAAAAACAGATACGAGTCATCAGCAAAAAACAAGTGAGAGATCCGCGGCGCCCGAGGAGCCACTTTCACCCCTTCCAGCTTTTTATCCGCAATAGCCTTGCGAAGGAGGGCCGCAAATCCCTCAGTACAAAGCACGAACAAAAGAGGGGAGAGGGGATCCCCTTGCCGAAGCCCCCGGGAAGGAGAGAAGTACCCAGAGGGAGTCCCATTCATTAGAACCGAAAAGGAGGAGGATTGGAGACACTCCCGAATCCACCCTTGCCAGATACTGTTGAAGCCCATCTTATCTAAAACCGCAAGAAGAAACGGCCATTCGACTCTATCATAGGCCTTTTCCATGTCAACCTTTAGAGCCATGTACCCTTTCTTACCCCGCGTTTTAATTTTAAGATAATGCATCAACTCATGGCCGAGAAGAACATTTTCCACGATTTGACGTTCACGGATGAACGCATTTTGCCCCTCCGAAACAATTGCGGGCAGGAACTCAGCCAGCCGCTCAGCCATAATTTTTGTGATAATTTTATAAACAAACTGGCATAAACTGATCGGACGCAGTTGTCTCATAGATTCAACATTGTCTACCTTGGGGATTAGGGTAAGCCACGTGTGATTGAAGCTGCGGAGCATCCGACTGGTAACAAAGAAGGACCGCACCGCCGCAACCACCGTCTCACCCACAACATCCCAGAAGGCTTTAAAAAATTTCCCCGTGAATCCATCAGACCCAGGAGCCTGCTTCGACCCCATAGCAAACACCATTTTACGAATCTCGGCGGGTAAAACCTCAGCCGTGAGGCTAGCATTCATCTCAGGGGTAACACTATGAGCAATAGGCAAGGACGCCACCCGCTCAGCCATGTTCCCAACCTGATTCTCTGACGTAAAAAGGTGTTGATAGAAGGACGTAGCAATTCCTGCCTTCTCACTTTCATTGGTAACCCACTCCCCATTATCATTCCGAAGACCAGCAACGAAATTTCTTTTACGCCGCGCTCGAGTCACTGTATGGAAGTAGGAAGTATTCTTATCCCCTTTCTTCAACCAGTGAACCCTGGACTTCTGTTGCCAGTAAACTTCTTCCGCTTCCCATTGACGATTCAATTCCATCTCTAATTCCCGAATCATATCCCAATTAATTGGATGGACGGATTTAACCCTCTCAATCTCGCTTTGGAGAGTCCGAATGTTCCGCAAAGAATTGGTGGTCCCAGCCCTACTCCAATCATACAAGAGATGACGAAGCTTCTTAAGACGCTCCCAAAGGCAGAACATCGGGGACCCCTGGATATCCTCCTGCCAGACATAATTAACCATAGCTCTGACTTCAGGGTTATCTGCCCATCGAGCATCAAAGCGGAAAAGAGGACGACTAGCCCGAACATAAGGCTTGTCCGACAGAAGGAGGGCTCTATGATCAGAACCTTGATCAGTAAAATGTTTGACCAAGGTATCCGGGAAACGATCTATCCAGGGCTGAGAGCAGAGGGCTCTATCCAGGCGCTCCCGGATACAGGCACTACCCATCCTTCTGTTGGTCCAGGTAAAGATGTCCCCCTGGTAACCCGGATCATGGAGACCCAAATCATCAATAAACTCACGCAAAACGATGGAAGAATTGGCATTCCAAGGGTTGCCCCCATCTTTTTCACTTGCACTCAGGATAGTATTGAAGTCACCAATCACCACGTAGGGGAGATGGAAAGCAGAACAGATGTTCCGAAGATGCGCCAACTGAGTTGTTCGAATAGCAGCAGAACAACTAATATAAACACAAACCACAATATAAGAAAAATCCACTTCATTAATTTGAAAACAAATACAAAAGTTGGACGAATAAAAAACCGAAACATCAATCTCCGGAGTCCAGGCCAACACTAACCCGCCCGACCCATCAATAGCATCAACAAAAAAACAACGAGAATTATCAAAACCCAAACCCCGCAAGCGACGGGAAACAACATGCCGACTAGATCGTGTTTCAGAAAAAAACACGATCTCCGGTTTGTTGGAATAGACCATACCCAGGGCCGTTTGGAATGTGAGGGAAGGTCCAATGCCTCTCACATTCCAGGCTAATAGCCTCATTTATCGGACTGGGGCCACTCCAGGCTGGCTTCCTCCACCTTCTCATTAACATCAGCGACTTCCACAAACTGTTTCTTGGGCGTTGGCGGGGTACCCACCTCCCCTTCAATAACCTCCAAAGGCCTTTTAAGCATACCAGACGAAGAGTTTGGTAAATTAGACCCGTATTCATCAAATCCCCCCACGTCCTCTCCCTTCATGTTTCTGATGTCTGGCGCTCCTCCTCCACTTACATCCCTTTCCTCCTCAATAGTCATTCCTGCTTCAAAAGCCGCCACCACTTGGCTAACCCGACCCATGGTAGGCTGGCCAGCTTTAATAGATTCAGCCAATGGGGTCCTTTTTTTAATCATAAAGCTTTGGGCTTCTTCCCCTGAGGCCGAATCTTCTGAGTCCTGGGCCAACACCAAATTCGGCCCACCTTCAGTGCCTGGGGATTGCGGGCCAGGAACCACCGGCTCGGCTGGATCTCTTCCTTCCTCCTGTGGCAAGTCACCCCCACCCTGGGCCGGAGGCTGTGGTTGGGCCGAGGCCTTGCGCAGCTTGCGAGGCCCACGCGAGCGGACAGGCTGGGTAAGCCCCAGGCCCACAGCCGCCTCCGCATGCTGGGTATGTCCCAGGCCCACAGCCGCCTCCGCATCGGCCCGAGGAGTCCCCTTCGCGGCCTGCTCCGACCTCAGCTGCGTCCCCGCCCGTCGTGCCCCCTTCTTTCCAGCTCTCACCATATCAGTCCCCATCGGAGACGAGGAGGGCCATATATGATAATTGAAATCTTTTTTATATGAATTGCCTGACTAGAACAAGGGTATAACAAGGGTCGGAGATTAAGCATACATAGCAGCAATAACAACCAAGCAAAAATGTCAAGGGAGAACAACAAACTCACTGAACCAACAAATCTGCTTAATTTACACTAAGCAGGGCTGAACATCCACACATCACTTACAACAAATGTAGACCTATGATCATCATGCAATTTGGAAACACCCTTTTGTTTGTTCTGCGGAGTGCTTTGTCCACTGCAAATCTTCTCCTTCTACACCCCTCCTCTCTACGATCACACCTTTTGCAACGCCGGCTAATCCGTCTCTTGATGCTCCAAGTTCAGCTGCAGACTGCGATCACCCCAGAAAGGCCATTCTACATAATACTACACCGTCAATCGTCGATCGATCTCTCTGTACATGCTGATAATTAACTAGTTCTCTTTGGCTTGTAACTGTGAGAATCACAGCACGCGATAATTAACTAGCAATTCCAGTACAATGTACTAAAGCATTACAAGAATCCCAAAAACTGAAATTGCAAATGAAGTTAAAGGAATGTAGGTGGTATGAACTCTTTGCAGTCTTGCTAAGGATGCCGATTTGACAATGAGAACCACTTATGAAATTGCTAAGTAATTACAAGATGAGATGTTCTATATATGGATCCAGTTGCTGCACTGGTGGCATTCGTCTGCCACATTGTTGGCACGAAACTCTTGAACGGTCAGAGCTACAATAACAAAACAAAACATGTATCTATGAAAGCCTTCATTTTGCAAGAAGCAGCTTGATAGAAGATGAGGAGGCAAAAATGGTGGTGCATCATAGGCAGCAACTACAGAGGTGGGAGTGGTTCTCTTCACTGTAATCATATAGGACCTGCGCTTCTTTAGATATACGCTTATATCGCATCACCTCCTTCATAAATTCGAAAACCTTTCTGGAGCATAATAGAAAAGACGGCTTAATCTCAACCCTCAAAAGATTTGGGGCTGTGGCAAGTATGAACCTGACAAGTTCCAACTCAAGCGGTGCCCCAAGGCCGTCTTCAATTGCAAATACTCTGAGATGCTGCAAACATGGTCCACGACGGTGTGCTGCTTCTAACAAGGTTCCTATGCTAGTCGCCAAGTTATATGCAAGCTGATTTCGCCGGCTAACCATGCACTGCAAGAGCATTTAACAAGGAACAAGGTAATTAGCCTCTGTAGGTAAATTTTTTTTGTTTTTACAGGATTTTTGCAGCTTTCGAACACACAAACCGCAACCTGAATCACGAGTTTATGCAAGTTGGGAGCACTCGAGATTAGGAAAACAAGAATGCGCTCCCCCAAACTAGTAATGACATTAAGATAGATGCAGAGTGTTTTCAGCCGGCAATGAGGGGAAGGAAGCCTGGTGGAGACATGACCACCTTTACCAAATACCTGCAACAGGACCATACACAGACACATACACATAGCATACCACGGCTTGTTAGAAGCTGCTTTATTAAACCTAGCTGGTATTTTTGGCCCGCAATAGGGAAAATGTCGTGATGAACTTACTTCTAAAGATTCTGATGCTACAACAAACCGCTCAAGTACCCGGAGAGAAGCTAATAAAGCTGCCAAATCAGGGTTCTGCAACCCGCCATATACAGAAAGTCGCAGTACAGACAGACATGGAGTACGCTTGAAGCATAGTTTCTGCATTTCCCCCTCAAAGTTGAACAGCTTGAGCCGCGGAGCATCTAGCTCAAGCTTTTCAAGGCCAGTGCAGGAGACTATAAGCATACTTGCAAGCAATGGGCACTTGGGAAGGAAATTCTCACAGAAGTCTGATGGCACGTTTACTCTAATTAGACGGAGTTTTTTAAGCTGACCGAACCCAACAAACCACGGTGGTACCACGAACAAACAACGTTCCAGTTTCAGATAATTCAGTCGAGGAGCAGCGAACAACGAGGATGGCAGCCTGTACCAGCTGTGACTGTGAGAGTCTTTACTGGAAAGGACAAGGGTGAAATGCTGGAGGACACCTATGCCAGAAAGATGCACAATGATGTGATCAATCTCGTGGCAGGGGTTCAATCCGGGAACTGCAAGCACGAACTTGATCACCGGCCCATCGCGAGCCAGCAGAGACTTGTAGATGTTCGGAACCAACTTATCGTTCGGTTCAGTCGGAGCGAACCCATCGTCGAACACAAGTTGAGGAATGCTTCTCCAGTGACGCCTCCAGGTGCTTGACAAGAGAGCTGTTCTGGCTGCATCTTTGATGGGCAACAACATGAGGATGTTATGTATCACATTCTCAGGAAGCCGGCTAATTAGTTCGTTTTCGTCACTAGGCTCGCCAACCCACTCCATCGATCTTTCTGCCTAGCTATTAAAATTTATTGCAGACAAAGTCCGCCCTGCAACTAAAATTAACCTAAAAGTTCGTTAGTTCTCGTAAGTTGCAGCTAGCCGTCAACACCCATATATGACAAAGAACAAGGGGGGAAGTTACCTGATTCACGAAGGGTTATTTTGCAGCAAGAACGGAGAGGCTGTAAACTGCCGAGGCTAGGGCATGAGTTCGCCAGTCGCCATATATTTACAGAACAAAAGGGATCATAAGACGTGGAGTATGGGGCATCTGGAATGTTAGACCTGGACTCTTTTTGTACTGTTTACTCTTTGGTTGGTGTTTTTTGTAATTGTCCTTATATACGAGTGTGTCATGTGGTATATGGTATTAGAGTTGATTTGTCCTTGAGGTCACGTGTTCAATTTCTCATGACCTTTAATATTAATTCTTGTGTTTAAAGCACATGGTATGGCGGGTCTGTGCAAATTTCAAGCCCATGAGTTGGCTTTCATTTGAGATTAAGTTTTTCTTGGAGCTTTTCCACGTGTTTTTAAGAAGATAATGATGATTCTTGAAGTGTTCATTCACCAAATCCAAATTTACTACAGCAGGCGAGATACACACTTGAACAGCTACTCACCTGAAGTATTGATACTACAAAAGAAACGAACACTTTCAAGCCAAATATCGAAAGTAGAAACCAAAGAAAGCCAACGACGCATAAAAACTCGAACAATAAGAAAAAAAGGTATCCTACAGATCCAGCGCTTAACATATAATCCCATCATATCTGCGAAAGGATGATTTCCAAGACAACGAAGCAAAATGGCAAATGGCAGCTTCAGTCCTCCTCGTCATTCCAGTCATATATGACTACCGCTTCTCTGGAAACACGCTTGTACTGCATTACTTCCTTCATGAATTTGATGACCAATTTGGAGCACAGCCGATGAAGAGGCTTGATTTGAATCCTCAGAAGTAGTGGGGCCGTGGCTAGGACGAACCTCACTAGCTCAAGATCAACTCCTGTACCAAGGCTACCATCAATATCAAACAATTTAAGACGCTGCAAACAGCAACCGGATTGGGGCCGCGTGACACTTTCCAACAAGCTCTGCGTGCTAGGTGGTCTGAAGCGCTGCAAGAGCATTTGACAAAGAACGAGGTCAGGCCAGATGCCAGACACAATACTTTCATGTTCAATATATGTAACTCATGAAGTCGGCAACCAGACTTTGGCACATTGAAAGAACAAGAAAGGACCTTAATTGTGAGCTCACGCAAGTTGGGGGAATTCATGATTAGGTAATTAAGAACACGCTTCATCTCCAAATCATCATAGCTCAGAGAAGTTAAATTCAGGAATGTCAAGTTGTGAAGGGGGAGCGTCATAGGTACTTCACCACCTTTAGCAATTACCTGAGAGAAGACCATACAAGAACGTATCACATTGATCAGCTGCTTCATTCAAAGTAGAGAAACCCAGCTGGTTATTTTGGCAACAAAATCAAAATGTCATGAGTAACTTACTTCAAGGACCTCAGATGATACATACAAACGCTGAAGTACCTGGGTAGAGGCTAATAAATCCACAAATTCAGGGCTTTCCAACCTATTCACCAGAAGTATTAGTTCGGACAGAAGTGGAGTATGCATGAAGCACAGTTTCTGTAAATTCCCAAAAAAGATGAACACTTCGAGTCGTGGAGCATCTAGTTCAAGATTTGTAGGGCCCGTGCAACTGACCATTTTCAAACTCTTTATCATTGGGCACTTTGGAAGAAAACTCTCAAAGAAATCAGATGGCAGGCTTACTTCTTGTAAGAAAAGACATGTAAGCTTACTAAATCCAACAAACCATGTCGGCGCCATCAACAAACAATTTTCCAGTTCCAGACGATTCAGTAGTGGAGCAGTAAACAAGGAGGAAGGCAGCTTGTACATGACAAAACCTTTGGAAAACACAAAGGTTAATTCTTGGATACCTCTTCCAGAAAGATGAACAATGATGTGATCAATCCCATCACAGGAGGTTAATCCAGGAATTGCAAGCACAAACTTGGTCACCGGCCCATCGTGAAGCAACAAAGATTGGTAAATGTTCAGAATTAACTTATTCATCATGCCAGGACCACTGATTTGTGCGAAACCATTACGAAATACAAGTTGAGGAACACTTCTCCAATGGCCCCGCCAGTTTGTTGACATGATGGCTGTTCTTGCTGCATCTTTTATTGGTAGCAGCATCAGAATGTTATGTATAACATTTTGAGGAAGCTGACAAATTCTGCCATTGCTCAACTCGCCAACCCCCTTCATCCTATTGCAATGCTCTGCATATAATCAATCAAACAAGAAGTATTCATCAATAATCAGTTATACGGATGGCTATCAAGGAAGAAATGGTTTGTCACTGCTTGTTCACCTTCTTGATTTCACTTACAAGTAAGTTGCAATGATGCCACGGACCCTTCTGTTCTGATTTTCAATTACGGTACAGGGAATGATCAAAGGCCCATCCATATAAATATAATAAACAGAGGAAGAAGAAGAAGTGGGAAAAAGGCAGGCGGCTGATGCAAGATCTTAGGGGACTGGAAAAGAATTATAGGGCATTAAACACACTTTGATTCTATACAATTCATATAAATGGAATGCAGCCTTCTGGCATTCCCAAGAGAGCATGATAGAAGGAATTTGGACTGTCCATCTGAATTACGCCTCGTAGTTTTTGGTATTCCACCATGCATGCATGATGCAACAGATCCTTTGTACTTCACTCCAAGAGTCATGGTTCCAAATTATTGGTGAGACATTTATGATTTACGACTTCCTAGCAATAAAGATGGAATACGTTGAATTGTTTGACAATGCTGCTAGATCTGTAGCCTGCACTACATTGTTCCCACTCAAATTACTACTCTCTTTATTTCCCTTTTCAAGTAGATAATTGACTTGCAGACAGAGACTGAGTCTGGATCAGACAAAGGATAGCAAGAAATTCTCGTTCAGTATCACAAGAAAGGTTATGACCCTAGCCTTTTCCTGAAGTGTCATGACAGTCTCCTATGCCCTTCATTCACAATCACAAAATGGAATAGTGAAAAAAGGTTGATCTCATCTCACTAACCCTTCACAAGCATTACAAGCACGTTAATTTCATGCATCACAAGCACGCTTGATGTTTCTGAGACCAGATAATTGTTTCTTTGCTATTGTCCACAAAATCAGTTGAGTTCATCAATCAAGACACCAATGGCGCATCTAGTATGCTGAGGAAATTCGGAGATTAAGCATACATAGCAGCAATAACAAACAAATAAAATGTTCAGGCAAAAAAACAAACTGAAACCAATCAGATTATTTGGAAGCATGCTCACAATGTGTCACCTCCTTTCTGAAACTGACAGCCGTTAGAATTTTCGGGATTCGATTTCAGCTTGATCACAACTTCACCATCTCCAGCTCGATCTGAGTACCCCGAGTTCTCATGATGAACTTTTCAAGGAACTGAAAACAAGTTGCAGGAATGTCCATCTGAATACGGCTTGGAAAGAATCAGATGCTTTGAACTTCACTTCAAGAGACGTGGTTACTACAAACCTACTAGGGGTGTTGATAACAGACCTAATGACATGAAATCGCCACCGAACCCACTTCACTCAATCCCAAGAAAAAGCTTCCACCATTTCAATGCATAGTAACTTGTTCCAAACAACTGGAAAAATTCTACCATTCTGCTTACTAAGTTGTCATGCTGCAGGTTTGATGGATTCCACAAACCCACTGCTGAGCAGCCGCTCCACGTACTTGCCCAGAATGTCCACCTCCAAGTTCACCTTCTGCCCAACATTCTTGAAAGGGATCACAACCTTCTGCTGCGTATAAGCCACGAGCATGAAATTGAAGCAGCTCTCCTCATCAAACACATCCACCACCGTCAGACTCGTCCCGTCCACCGCGATAAACCCTTTCGGAACAACATACTTCAACAGCCCTCTGTCCACCTTCACCTTCACCCACAGCGAATCCCCTTCTGTATCCTTGCCAACAATCTCCCCCGTCCCGTCCACATGTCCCTGCACGAAATGCCCGCCCATCCGGCTCGTGGGCTGAACCGCCCGCTCCAAGTTCACCGCCGAACCGGCCTCGAGCTCTATCAGGGACGTCTTCCGAAGAGTCTCAGGGGATAACCCCACGGTGAAGTCTTCGTCGGTGAACTCGGTCACCGTGAGGCAGGTGCCGTTGACGGCGATGCTGTCGCCAAGATGGACGCCCTCGAGGACGGTGCTGGCTCGGATCTTGAGGTCGAATCCGCCGTCGGCGGTGTTGCCCAGGTGCTTGACTTGCCCCATTTCTTCGACGATTCCAGTGAAGAGCGATCGGATGGTCGAGGAGGGAAATCGGGTTTGGGGCTGGGATTTAGGGGTTCTGGTGAAGAAGAGAGATCGTGTGCTGGGATTCGAAATTGATGTGGAGAATTTGAGATTGGACTTTTGTGGGAGTAGATTCAGTACTGTGATTGCAGTTGGAGATGATGGGCGACTTCTCATGGGACAGCAAATACTACTGGGAGCTTTGACCATAGATGAGAAAGAAGAACAGACTGCCATTTCTGTCTTCTTCTGGATACAGTCGAGTGAGACGCTCCAAAAAGATACCCTATTTTGCGGCGGGACGATTGGATAAGGAATTGGAGAAGCAGATGGGAAGAAAGATTCTGCAAAAAAAAAAATCCTCAGGTGGGAGATGTTTGTTTTTGCCCTAGGTAGGTAGAAGAGCGCTTTCGTCGTGGAGCTTTGTCTCTCGAGCTGCCTGCAACAGAGTCGCCAATTCCCTAGCCGATTTGTTTATTGGGCTGGATCGATTGGTATCTGGGATAGTCAGGGCCCATCTTCTGTTCTGACTTTAATTAAATGACTAGCTTTTTACCCGACTTGTTGGTCGGATGAATTTAGTTTTATTTATTATATTTTTATATTAATTTATTTTTTTCATATTTTCAAATAATTTGGGATCGTCTAAATAATTTATTAGTGGGTTGAAACTAATATTTGTGCGAATTATTGATTGTAACATTAGTTAGTTTATAAGTATTTGTATTGATCATGCTATCGCTTACTGTTGTCTATATATTTTTTAGATTTAAGAAAAAAATCACTTCCTATTGTTAGAATAAATTACTTAAAAAATATTTCTTCATAAAATTTGATATTATTCACTTATTTTTCTATTATATCCATGAAAATAAAATAATTAAGCATTGAAGTATTAATTATAAACTCCAAGCGATTTTCCCTATTAGTAATTTGGAGGGATAAAAATTTATCAAATAAAGGATTCAAATTTTATGGTCGACAACCATTAGGTACTAATTGAGAAAATACAAAATTATTAACTAATAATTCACTTTTAAATAATATATATCTCCAAAAGCAGTTGTGGTTGTTAATAGCTAACATTAATGTATACGGATAGTACAATTGTATTATAATGGACATATCTGAAATATTCCAATTATTTCTTCAAAATTTTAATTAAATAAGGCACTCTATAGTTCAAACATACAATCATTTGTTGTGAAAATTAAGTTTCTGAAAAAGATTCATGATTTTAGGAAATCAATATGGATTTTTTATAATTGATTTTGGTGTTGCCTTTGATATCTAAAAGTCAAACACTTATAGATTTGTCTACTATGTCATTTGAAAGATTCTAAAAATTTATAACAAATATGTACCACCAACAAATAAAAACTTTTTTGTCAAAAATTTGTGTGCCCATAAATTTGTTCTTAGCTTTGTGCTCGGCTTTTAGCTCATCGCTATTTTTGGAAGGTCAGATGATCAACAATAAAAGTCGGGGAATTTCAAGAAGATTCCCAAAGATGTTTCCCTCCCTCCAGGCAAATGATCGACTTTGCTTTTGCTAGTAGAGAATGGAGCTGTTATACCTGCATAAAACAATGTCTCTTGAAATAGTGTTTATTTTCAACAACTTGCACAATTCCAAATTGATTCATAGGTCAACGCGATCACATATTTTATTGACTTATCTGTTGATCATTATAATTAGAAGCAACAAATAAAATGAAAAGCATAGTGATAAAGATGACTATTAATACCATAGACCGATAGACGCATCCCTCTTCGCTACTTTCTGTTGGCAACTATGGAAAAATAGAAACCTCTGGGCCTTCGAGAGACTATTGGCGCCGGCAACCCAGTTAGCCTACCAAATCCGGCAAATGCGAGTGCAGATTGATCAATCTTCCAGGAGGATTGGGCAGGTTCTCGGGGAGGCTACAGAGCGGGTTGAAAGGGGAAATAGAATAGGGTTTGGGATTTTCACAAAAAGGCTACAATTTCCCCTTTATTAGTTGTTCTGGGCGTCGCCCACCAAAGTGAAAACGCGTCTCCGAGTGCCCAGGTGCCTAGATCAATCGCCCAGAGCTAGACTGGGCGATTTCCTCCTGCCCAACTATTAATCGCGCCTAGGCGAGAGATTAATCGCGTCTTCTTGAACACTGAATAAAAGTGGACCAAACAAAGACATTACATCCAACTTATTTCAGTTCCATCTTAACACAGTATCGGAGGCATGTACTGTTATTATACAAATGATCTTACGCTCTCAATTAGGAACTAAACGAAGGTTAAATGCTTGATTGGCAAACTAAATCGATGAACCTAGTGATCTTAAAGAAAAAATTAATGATCACATGATTTCTTGGACCAAACTACTAAAGGAAAAAAAGAAAAAAGAGACCGTACATTAGCATAAGAACTCAACAAATTACTTATAAGAACTAATGACATAAGGAAAATGTAAACTCAAACCGTTCTTCCGAAGGTCATGGATTAAATCATTAGTTGTCGATTACATAGCCTAAACTGCAAGTTATATCCAAAATAGAGGCAATTTAGAAAGAAAAAAAGTTAGATAAGAAAGCCGTGAAACACACAAAAATTGAGTGAACAAAGTGGGAAGTATTGCTTTCAATTAAGCTTGATTATGTTGACATAAAGCAGGCACACACATTGACTTTGGAAACCTAAACAAAAAGCTTAAAAAGTGGCAAGAGAATTCTTCCCTTGAGGTTCAAATATAGTCTACCTATATGAGTAGAGCCAAGTAATTACCATGATTCCATTTTACACATACCATCTCACAACCAACTGCTGCTAATGCTCTGGTCCGTTCCAAACCTCACCTGCTCATATCTCCAATACCATATCACGAAACCAAGAATTATACACAACTAAAAGATCCAATAAGGAGAGTAACTTAGCATGGAACTTTGTGATGGGGGCAAATTCTATGGTCAGTATTAAGCTGTGCAAATTATATCACCTCTGCAAAGCTCACTACTTCCAGTAGTTTCTCACAGAACCAGCTACCGTCCTAATCCCTTCCTTCCTTCCTTCCCAGGGTCAAAGTGTGAAAAATGGCGTCCATCTCCGCCACAACCACAGCTTCTTCCTTCATCCATGCATCTCTCCGTCGCAACCCCTCTCTAGGGGTTTCCTCCGCCCCAGTTCTCGGTGAGTACTCTTGACGCCCCCCTCCCCTGAAATTCACAATTACCTCGGGCTTTTATCAATTCAACTTGGGGGAACCAAGAAATTGAATCGATTGGGTGATATGTAGGGCTGCCGTCGATGGCGAAGAGAGGGAGAGTGGTGAAGTGCTCGGCGGAAGGAAACGGAAGCAACGGCAGCGGGTGGGAGAAGAAGGGGATGATGAGCGCTTCGCTGATGGCGCCGGTGGCCGCAGCAGCTGCGTCGAGCCCAGCGGCGATGGCTCCTCAACGGATGCGAGTAGCTGGAGCGATTTGTAGCGACCTTCTAGAGGCTGAAGCAGAGAAGAAAGAAGAAGCAGGGTTCGTGGCGGCGGGGGAGACGGTGGTGGCGGCGGCAGTAGTTGTGCTTCTCGCCGGAAGGGAAAGCCTTGATCGTCGACAACCTCTATGCCACGGAGATCGTTCGCTGCACTCCCAAACGCGATCTCCTCAGTCGCAGCAGAAGCGGGCCGTCACTGCTTTCCGCCACTGACCACCAAAACGTCTGGTAGTCTTCCCATGAACTCAGCAACAGCCGGCCGTCAGCGCCTTCCTCCGCTGAACACGAAACCGTGACGCCCTCTTACCAGAATTTTCTGATGGAAACTAATTCTCCTCCTGTCCTGCGGGTAGGCGAAAGGATAACGTGGGAACCCAGTAGAAAAGGTGGTATTTCAGCCAAACGAAAATTAAATGAAAAATAAATGATAACTAAATGATAACGTGGGAAACCAGGAGAAAAAGGTGGGTAGTGGACGATTTTTAGTTCTGCAATCTGGCGGGGAGTTCTATTTTTTTCCCGCTCAACACCCTGCCACATCAGCTTCCTAAAATCACTCTATGGACAGGAAAATTTGAATGGGGGTGGCAGTTTTACTTTTCAGCTATAAATTATACTGTTGATATAATGGGCCCTTGAAGGCCCTCTTTTACTAATGAATCAGGTTTACATGGAAATGTTATCCAATTACATGAAAAGAAACTATACAATTTTTTTTTTTATTTCATCCATGAACTATCTATGATAAAAAAATTTCATAAAAATAGGTTAGTGTTTCAAAAATGAAACTAAAATAAAATTTGGGACACAATTGTTTACGGTGATGTGGAAGCTACATCATCAAATTATGTTGAGTCAGTGATGGATCAAACTTATCCTATATGAAATTCGGAATTTATTTTAATCATTATTAAATGTTTGCGTCGAAGTTTTCCATTTGTACAAATTGAGAACATATTGAAATATTTTCCAAAAAATAAAATAAAAAGTCACAATAGTTGTCCAAATATTTACATTGTTGGATTCAATGAAAAAAATTCTCTCCTGTTGGATGTCACTATGAAAATTATTTAAAAAAAAACAGGAAAAACAATTTTTTATTACTTATATTTTCGTGCTTATGTAATTTATTTGTAAATAAAATTATGTTTCTATAATAGACCTACTTTAAGTTCATATAACTTTAGATTCAATATCTATTCTACAATGAAGTGAATAGATCATCAAGTTTATTCTATTAGTTTCGTGATTCATCAAATAGAGTTCATTTTATTGGTTAGCTACTTTATTTATAATTATGATTTATAGTTTATAGCATGTAGGTTTGTGGATTGAAATCTTAGAGTAATGATTACTTAATGTTTATTCATTTTTAGTTGTAGTGAAACTTAAGAGGGGAAGTTGAAATAATAAAAATAATATGAAAAATTAAACCGACAATTAAAATTCAATAGTGTAAATTAACTTAACAAGTTACGACATGAATGACGAATTTGAAGAGTTGGACGGGTTTGGATAGCATCACAACCTCTTTAGGGCTTGTGAAACTCGCTTCCCCCTTCCCAGTCGTCCACTCCCTTATGCATCTGAAGATCCACAATGCAGCAAGGGCTTCTGTGTAACTAGTTTAATGGAAAAAATTTGAAAATATAAAATAAATGCATGGGAAAATATTATGCAGCGTGATTGGTGGGATGGGTTACCACTAGCCATAACCGCCTGCGTTTATTCCCCTTCCATTTATGGATTCTTCCCCTTCCATAACCGCCCACGTCACTTCCCCGGCAATACCTTTACGCTGCCGCCAGCATACAATGGACGGAAACATCAACAACGACGAAGGCATAGATGGGGTGGGAGCTGAACAAACTTGTTTATTTGGATTTGACCTGAACGTCCCATACACAAGCAATGACGAGGGAGAGAATGGTGATGATGTTTTCATTGTGAATGATGCAGGCATTTCGACATGGAGGACCTGCTTAACGAAGTGCTTCCGAAAAACTCCGAAAAGACGAACAACGTCAACGTGGAGAACAATGGCGATTTTGAGCGGCATCTACTCGAGCACGTTGAAGACGATGACGACGGCATAGAGAATGTCGCTGGCAGCAACAATCTCGATAGGGTTAACTATTGCAGCTAGGACTTCCGTTGAACTGGTATTGTTTTTTAAATGGTACAACTAATGCCAAGACAGAATGATACCAGTAGTTAGATAGTGGTAGTTCGTTAGTAGTGGTAGTTTCGTAGTGGTAGTGGTAGTTTCGAGAATGGTACCAGTAGTTACCTAGTGGTAGTTCGCTAGTAGCGGTAGACCCCTAGTGGTAGTAATCTAGTGGTAGACGCTTAGTGGTAGTACAATTTTAGTGGTACATAAATGTGACCTCTAATGTTATTTTTTAATTACAAGTGCGGTATCATCTATCATCCCAACAAACAGGTCAACATGGGTCACTTGCGTTTCCAGAATCAAGATGAATTTACAAGTTTTTACAAGTGTTTTGGTCATGAAAGAGGCTTTTCGTTAAGAGTTGTTGGAGCAATGAAGAAAAACAAAAGTAATTACATGGGATCACTTGCATTTCCATAATCGAGATTCATAAGTAGCAGGGTTGTTTTTTTGCAGGTTGTTCTTTTGTCGTCGGCCCGTAGAATGGAATCTTTGTTCTCACCATTTCTGCCTAAAACAATTACATTGTTACAATGATACTACCATAAAACATTCAACAGTGCTACACAAAACTACTAATTAAGACTAATACGACTTTCGACTACCAATACCAGTAACACCAATTACGACTACCACTACTAGTACCACTTCAGTGGTACCACTGCCACTTCGACTACCAATACCAGTAACACCAACTTCAACTTCGATTACCGATACCACTTCAGTGGTACCACTTCCAATTCGACTACCAGTACCACCAATTTCAACTTCGACTACCAGTACCACTACCAATAACACCACCTTCGAATAAAAAAACTTATTGTATAAAGAAACCTCACTTGCGATGGTTTGCACGACCGCAGTAAGGGATGACGGCAGACAAAAAAATTGAATAGTTGGGAATTCAATTAAAGCAGGACAACTCCAAGGACTCGAATCTTCAAACTGAATAGAGAAACGACCAAGTCTTCAAACTGAACAGAGAAATGAGCGAGATAATGCAGGCGACAATGTTGATCCGCGACAACAGAAGGGATTTTTTTCCAGAGCAAATGGAGGAGAAAGGGTTTTGGGGCGGGCAAACGGTTACCTTGCGAGGAAAGTGGCTGATTTGTCTCCCCGATCAATTCTCTCCCCTTACTAAAACCGGATAACATCATAGGTGGAGTGGGCGAGCGGATCCAATGCAACACTTCTCTTTTTTACCCTTGATTATTATAGACCACCAGATCGTGAGGAAGGGAGACGAACGGCTGGGAAGGGGGAAGCGAGTCTCACAACCCCTTTAGGGGTTGTGACTGTGACGCTATCCAAGCCCGAGTCGGACAATACACAACTTTTACTTTGATCAATAATTTATGGCAAGAATAACGAATTTGAAGAGACGAACAAACATTCTAAAAGAGAAATTCTTGGATACTCCCGGTGTACCACATTGGCTGTACACCGCCCCAATTAAAACATGACACCTGTAAATTCTTGACCTCCGCTGCCGTCGTTCGTCGTTCCTTGCAGCAGCTCCACTGGCGGCGTTCCTCGCCGGCGTGAAGCCTCTTTTATCGATTCTTTCCGGCAAAAGCACCGGGAGCACCCAAGAAATCTTGGCTACTCCCGGTGTACCACACAGGCTGTACGCCACCCCAATTAAAACATGAGACCTGTAAATCATAAATAATAATTAAAACAATCATGACATCGGAAGACTGTGGCAAATCATATATATAAAGAGATCCAAGTCTTGACCACTCTTTATCATATTGTACATATATTTAAACAGTAGAATCCGGCAGCAGTAGTAGGGAAGCGGCGGTGGTCAGCTGTTGGCGAGAGGAATCTGGTAGCAGCAGCAGCTGGCGGAGTACAAAGGAAGCTCGACGGCTGGCAGGGTAAGAGACCGTTCGTTTAGGGTTTTGGTTAGAAATTGAGGCGGGAGGGTAAAAGGGTCAATTAGGTGCATTTTAGAGCGACGAATAGCGATTCAGATATTTGTATGGCCGGAACTTTTCATATAATAAACATCATGACCAATTTTTTCGATCTATAACATTATGGCCTGAACTATACATCAAAGTAACGAAATTGGGCAAACCCAAAAATTGACCGTTATCTTGAACGGTCAAACACGTTGATTAACAATCATCGTGCTACATCACGGCCAAATCAGCAACTTTCACTTAAATTTTTTTATATTTTCCACCTATTCTATTTATTTTTTTAATTTTGAATCCAAAAAAATTGAAAATTTAATTTTGTACTTCTTTCCGTGCCCTCTATAGTCTACAAGAGTGCAGCTTAGTCTTTGTAATCTTGCCTATTCGCGAATAACACTTAAATGAACGAGTTTTCTTTTATGTAGAAAAAATTATATAATTTTTTTTCGTTGAATCAGATCCAATCTCATTAAGCCGGGTCTTAAACCTAAAATGATCCAATTACAACGAAGTCACCCCATACTATGGGACGTAAATCTGCTACTCATCCCAACCTATCTACATACATTACCAGCATTCCTAACAATCTCCATTTTCAACTGCTGTAACTCCATTTTCAACTGCCCTCTGTCCCACGCTAAACAATTTAAGTATGCTGTAATATGCCTAACAATCTCCTCAGGGGCTATAAGAGCTGCCGCATGACAACGATTACATACCAAATACGTGCTACAATTGCACTCCATGGTACTGCATATACCCTACCAATCTCAGTATTCCCCTTAATTCGCCCACAAGCATCCTCCAAACACCCTTCCCATGTCTGCTGCAGAGGAATTGGGAAATTTACTCCGCAAGCAGCCACTTCTTTGGAGAACGAGCATTGAAAATACAAGTGCTCTCTCGACTCCTCTTCCTCCTGGCTGCATAATACACGAATGTTCGTACTTCTGCATGACGGTATAAGCCAAAAGACATTTAGAGGAAGAACGCCATCCTGATGCAAGAGCGAGCAGCAAATCATCTTTGCTAGATCTCTGCAATTGAATCCAAGTTCGTAAAAGGGAACCTAGAGCAGAATAATCAACAAAATCCGTTCTCTCCCGGGAAATCAAGCCATAAATACTGAAACGAACTCTTAGATTCTGTCAAACAGTCATACTCATGGAAGGAACGAGAAGCAAGGAGGTAAAAGGCAAGACGAGTAATTTTGATCATGCAGGCTCACATCAGTTGCCAACAAGAGAGAAAGAAAAGTTAAACATCAAGCACCATCAAAGGTGGAAAACAACCCAAAGGGTGAGTGGGAGAGGTAAAGCTGCAACGTATATTGATCTCATTCACTCTGGAGATATCTTGCATCTGCCCCTTTTAAACTGCGCTATATAATGTAACCTCTTTCAGGAGTTTCATACCCTCTACAGCGGACAAGTTAACTTCAAGCTTAATGGATATCTAACCAAGGACAAGGATTGGGGCAGTGACTAGAATAACAAGAACAAATCATTCTCTTCGAGTCATGGTGTGACTGAAAATAAATCTACCCCTACACTTGTTAATGTGTTGTACTAATGTAAAGGCGACATCGTGGCATCCTCGACCTCATCCTCATCTTCATCTTCACAGACATATCTAAGCTCAGCATCTCTGGAAATACGTTTACATAATGCTGCATTCTTCAAGAATTTCAAAACCTTTCCAGAAGACAGCTTATCGTGCGGCTTAATAGAGATCCTACGAAGCTTCGGGGCAGTGGCGAGTACAAACCTCACCAAGTCCAGCTCGACTTGCGTACCACGACCATCCTGAATGTTGAACTCTTCAAGATGTTGAAGGCAACAAACTCCAGGTTGGTCGTCTGCTTCCAACAACTGTTGTAGGCTAGCAACAACATCTGAAGGCGGATGATGCCGATCATCATCAATCTACAAAAACAGTCATCAATGTACAGGTTTAAGCTGTCGAGTTGATGCGTAACAGTCATACCCATATGTAGTAATTCGTACAAGAGACGTTTAAGGTCTTAAGAAAGCGAACCTGAATGGTGAGTGTTTGCAAGTTGGGCGAACTCATGATTAGACAAACAAGAATCTGGGCCTGTGGCAACCTATCCAAAAGAAGACGAGGTACTGCCAGGACTTCTAAGTGGTGAAGATCTGTAGGCAGCCGGTAGGGGACACAACCAGCAGCAAGCAACTGGGGATAGCAGCATGGATATGATTAGAGAAGCCAGTTATAGGAGGAGGTAACCAAAGAACAAGCAATGAAACAAATTAACTTACTAGTAGCAATTCAATGCCAAGATTCAACTGCTGAATTGCAGGGAGAGATGCAAAGAAAGGGACCATATCCAAATAATCATCCTCAGAGGGTTCTCCTTCCCCACAAAACAAATCGGTATCTAGCACTGATAGCACCGAAAGAACAGGGGTATCCTTGAAGCAAATATTCAGAAAGCTAGAGTGTAAGAAAAGAACTTTGAGAGAATGCGATACAAACACAGGTTCTGTATCACCGCATTCTGTAACCCTCAACTCTTCCAACAGCGGAAACTTTGGAATGAAATTCTCAAAGAAACCGTCAGGCAGACCCACGTCTTCCAATTGGAGAAAAGTAAGCTTGCTAAATCCTGCAAACCCAGATGATACCTTGAATTCGCAACCCTGCAGTTTAAGACGCTTCAGGGGAAAGGCTGCAGAGAACAGGGAGGAATGCAAATTGGGGTAATTCTCGCCCTCAACGAGAAGGGTAAGCGTAAGCTCCTGGACGCCTTTCCTCGAAAGGTGAAGCATCAAGAGATCAAGCGGAAGATTGCGCCTATATTTAGAAATTGAGAGCTCAAACTTAGTCAGCAGCCCATCATGAGCCAGCAGAGCTTCGTAAATCTTCATCACTACCTTCCGATCATCTTCTTCAGGAAGTGGAGCAAACCTATAATCGAACACAAGTTCAGGAATACTTCTCCAACGATGTCTCCAGTATCTTGACAAGAGGCTGGTTTTAGCTGCATCTTTTATCGGCAAGAACACCAGAATCCGCTCTATCGCGCCGTCGGGGAGGTTGCTAATCCTATCAGCAGTGGATTCACGGAGTCGCGTCGTCATCCTTGCTCTTCCCCTGCACCAAATCGCCACAGGAGATCGATTCTCAGCCTTCACAACAAACAACTGTTGACCGAAGTCTTTTCTCTATCTGTACAAAGGAGGGTAGAAACAGAGGGAAATGGAGCCACGACGGTAGAACCCTAATCCCTTTTCTGGAATGAGAAACGTTTCCCTCTGTTTCTTTCAACAATTGCGCGTGTTTGTCGTAAATGGTCATTTGACTTTGGGTTGTTAACTATTTGATCACTTATTATTAGTTTTCATTTTTGACAAAAACAGTCACTTAATTTTTCAGTATCAGTTAATTTTAATTTTTAAATAATCATTTTCATTTCTCAATTTACGTCGTGGGCGTGTCAGGAAGAAAGGCCAGCATTTTAACCCTAAAATTAACTAGTACTGTAAAGTTAAGTGACTGTTTTTGTTAAAAATGAAAGGTAAGTGGCCAGGTTGTTAACAACCTAAAGTAAAAGTACCATTTACGACAAACTCGCGCAAGTTGAAAGAAAGAGAGGGAAACGGACTCAAAACAGAAAAGGGGATTAGGGTTCTACCGTAGACGACTAGACGTAGTGCTCCATTTCCCTCTGCTCTGTTTCTCTCTCCTTCGTAGAGATAGAGAAAAAGGCTTCGATCAACAGTCGTTCATTGTGAAGGCTGGGAATCGATCTCCCGTGGTGATTTGGTGCAGGGGAAGAGGAACGATGACGACGCGGCTCCGTGAATCGACTGCTGATAGGATTAGCAACCTTCCCGACGGCGCGATAGAGCGGATTCTGGTGTTCTTACCCATAAAAGATGCAGCAAAAACCAGCCTCTTGTCAAGATACTGGAGACATCGTTGGAGAAGTATTCCTCAACTTGTGTTCGATGATAGGTTTGCTCCACTTCCTGAAGAAGATGGTCGTGGTGATATAGCGGATGATGGGAAGGATGTAGTGTTGAAGATTTACGAAGTTCTGCTGACTCATGATGGGCTGCTAAACAAATTTGAGCTCTCAATTCCTGAATTTAGGCGTCAAATTCCGCTTGATCTCTTGATCCTTCACCTTTCTAGGAAAGCCGTCCAGGAGCTTGCCCTTCTCTTTGAGGACGACAATTACCCCAAATTGCACTCCTCCCTGTTCTCTCCAGCCTTTCCCCTGAAGCGTCTTAAACTAAAGGGTTGCGAATTCGAGGTACCATCTGGGTTTGCGGGATTTAACAAGCTTACCCTTCTTGAATTAGAAGATGTTGTTTTGCCTGACGATTTCTATCAGAATTTCCTTCCCTTCTGCCCGCTGCTCGAAGAGTTGAGGGTTATCGGTTGCACCGGTGAAGAGCATGTGTTTGTCTCGCCTTCTCTGAAAATGCTTTTGTTTCACTCATGTCTTTCTAAAATATGCTTCAAGTATACCCCACTTCTTTCGGTGGTATCAGTTTTAGACACTGATGAATATACTTATGATGAGGAAGACTACTTTCTGGACAGTAATTCGGATATGGTTGGCTTATTTGCATCTCTCCCTGCTCTTCAGCACCTCAATCTTGGCATTGAATTGCTGCTAGTAAGTTCAATTTTTTCTCTTGGTACCTATTCATTAATTATCACGGCCATCTCTAATCGTTAACATGCTTGCTGCCCTCTGCTTCCTTTACCTAGTTCCTTGCTGATGATGATCATGTCCCCTACAAGCTTCCTAAACCTCTCCACAACCTGAGATTCCTGGAAGTACCTCGCATTCTGTTGCATAGGTTGCCACAGGCGCGGGTTCTTGTTTGTCTGATCATGAGCGCCCCCAACTTGAAAAGACTCACAATTCGGGTAGGTCTTGTTGCGAATTGCTACTTCTCTTTGCATGATAAGTATGGCTGTAAAGAACCATATCCTTGACATAGGTTCCGTGATGAATATTTTTGTAGCTCGATGTTAGTAACGAACATCCGCCTTCGAAAGTTATCGGTAGCCTGCAGAAGTTGTTAGAAGCAGAGGACCAACTTGGAGTTTGTTGCCTTCAACATCTGGAAGAGGTCAACATTCATGACAGTCGTGGTATGCAAGTCGAGTTGGACCTGGTGAGGTTTGTTCTGGCCACTGCCCCTGTACTTCGCAGGATCAACATTCAGCGCAAAGAAAAGCTGTCTTCTAAAAAGGCTCTGAAATTCTTGAATGAGATGATAGTATATAAGCGTATTTCAAAAGAAGCCGAGATAAAATATGTCTAGAATGGCGAGGTTGAAACTTAGGTCGTTAATCTAATTTATGGTGCTTCGTCTTATGTTTTATTTTCTAGTTTGCAAATGATGTGAGGGTGCTTGATCGAACTTAGTTTAAGTGCAGAAGGTTTGCAGGGTGATTGTTATTGTTAGAACTTATTAGAACAGAAAAAGGAGGTTGTTCTTAGTTGTGACTACTTGCTAGCATTGCTTTGCATCTTTGCTTCTAACCTAGCAGCTAGCGCCAGTACCACCCTTAATAGAACGTATAACTGTTAATAGCCCTACCTACACAGTAGAATTGTTTGGCTGCATCTTTGGTGGGTAAAAGCCAGAGAATGTGCTCGATCATGTCGATAGGATGATTACTGATTCTGTCAACGATGCACAACATATGTTCATGGTTGTTTTGAGAAGAAAAGTATCGATTTCGAGAAAGAGAGGAATGCAAAATCTGTTATCTGTATATTAAGGATGCAGTTGAACCTCTTCAAGAGGGGATGTGATTAGCAAGGTTGTCAACTCGGTTTAGCCATTTGACCCAGTCAAGTAAGTGAGATGAGAATTAATGATCTTATCGCTTTAGTCTGAATATATGAAAATGGTCATTATGTTGTTTATACATTTATAAATTGGTGGCTTCTATTGTACCTTGGGTAAAATCTAGGGTACGACATACCATGAGTAAAAAAATGCTATCTAGACCTCGAATTAACCGAATTTTTGGACATGATACTATACTCTAACCCTTGATGATTGAAACCTAGGTCTTAGATTTCTAAATCAAAGAGCCTAATCCCTAAGATTGTGCTTGTAATTTGTTGCATATATTTCGACAAATCATAGCCGTTGATTTTTGTGTCTAATTAAATTGATCTTAGTGTATGAGATTTATAAAACTAAGACCTAGATTTTAATCCTTAAGGGTTTGGGAATAATATCAGACGCCAAACTATGCTCAATTCGAGGTCTAGATATCATTTTTTTACTCAAGGTATGTTGTACCCTTGATTTTACCCAAGGTACGATAGAATCACCCTTATAAATTATATCAAATCTCATTTAACATATGAGTAATTACATATTTACATAATATATAATTAAAATTCACTCACTTGTATAACACCAAATATATTTAATTACAAGTGAATTTTAACATATGAGTAATTACAAGTGAATTTTAGCATATAACATATTTACATATATATTTACATTTATAAATTATACTAAATGATCATTAGGTCCTACTTGGACCCAACATATAATTAAAATTCACTTGTATAATATCAAATGTTCAACTTAGAGTTCAAATATAGATTTAGGAGAATAGGGAAATAAGAAAAGAAGGAGCATTTTGGAAACCATAGGGAAAACGACATAGTGTGACCTCAACTCGATAACCTTGTAGCTGGTTTGACTAGACGGGTGTATGATTCATTTTTCTAACAAGGTGACGGTCAAAGCAGATCAACTAACGGGTCGACCCACATGTTAACAACCTTGGTTGTTAGCCATGGGTGGTTCAAAATTTGTCAGTAATTAATTAATACCATTGGTTATTAGGGATGACAACATGTCGGGTCGGGGACAAATAGTGCATATCCGGTACTCTACCCAAAGTACTTCGAATTTTATCTATACCCTACCCATAGTCTCATACCCACATAAAAATCGGACAGAAAAACAAAACCATGCCCATACCCGTTCGGTTTTTGAGTATCCACGGTTATCCATGGGTAATAGTTTCTCTTTATAACTTCAATCAACATGTTAACATTCACACATATACTCACATTACAGAAGAGGAAAAGTACGAAAATTAATAAGTAGAATGAAGAAAATTAAAAACAACTCAATTTCATGAAAATATTATATTTGTATGCTAAATATAAAATATGTTGAGAACAATAATGATCATTTCTACACAAAATACATATGTATATGTATATGTATAATCGGGCGGGTTCGGGTTGGATAGTGAGAAAACCATGCCCACCCATTACTCACAATATTCGGGTTTTACTCGTACCCGCCAAAAATCTTCCGGGTTCGGGTTTTACCCTACCGTATTAGGTCGAATTCGGACGAATATCCAAGTTTCGGATATTTTTGCCATCCATATTGGTTATGTCCTCGAATCAAATAACCAAGAGATAATTAATAGAGGACAAGTCAACGAGAGTGAAAAATAAGAAGGATACATTCGTCAATACCGTTATTTATTTTTTGTTTAAATGAATATATCAGTGTTGAAATTTGAATATGAATTTGGAAGGAAAAAAAAAAAGAATCATAACAAATTATAATAAACAAATGTGTTGTATCTTTCTAAATTAAAAGCATACAGAAAGTAAAAATATGAAAAATCAGGTGACTTTCCCGCAAGGTATGTAGTCTACTAACTCTCCCTTAAAAATTTCTTTGGTATTTGATACTTATATTTTCATATTTCATTATTTTAAATCGACTTTAATAATTAATTTAATTTCTTTCTATATTAAAAAAATAATTTGAAAATCACAACACAAATATCATTGATTTGAATATTTCATATCAAATTGCAGTATTAAATATGTAGTAACTATGTAAAATTATTAACTTAGGATAAATTTTTATAACTACCATGAAACAAAAATATTTTGTGCAAACTATAAGTGACCAGTTCTCTGAAAGTTTTAGTTCAATTAATTGCAAAAGCTCAAATCTCTTGCTAATCCTACATGAGACGAAATTGGCTATGTAGTGGTTCATTTCACCATTTTTTTATGTTAATAAATTTGTAATGCCATGACAAGTAATTGAGTAATTAAGATGAATATGATTATGATTATGCATTTTGATTCTTTAGATAATAAACAGTTTAAAGCATGAACTAACTTTATATTCATTTGATTAGTTGAATGAGTTTTGTTTTATCATTTATAATAATTTTGATGTTTGAAATCTTTTATATTTGGTTTAGAAGTATGCTTATTATTAGTGGCATTAGTGGGAGGTGGTTGAAATCTAGTATTTCATCGGGTAGTCATAGACAAGTACTGAGTGCATTTATTGAGTGTCTTTTAGCTTGGACTCTTGGTGTTACGAACATGTATAAACTTATTCATGTAAATGGGTATAACTATGAATTTAAAATTTTCATTTATGATATAATATTTAGTTATTTACATATTCTCTAAAATTAAGTAATAAGACCCATTGACACTATATGAAACACCAAATTCACGATCCAAATATTCATATATTTCTTTTTGGAATATTCATTAGATTTTCTTTTGAAATCGTGGCGACGACAACGTGACGGACCAAGCAACAGAGCGGGCGTGCAAGGAATCCCTAGGGCGAGCGGCGCCACACTAGTCATGGCGTCGACGACGAGACGGACCGAGCATCAGAGCAGCCACCGCGTGGAATCCCTAGGGTGAGCGGCGCAATTATTGTAGGCATGACAGTGGGGACTGAGCAGCAGAGCAGCCGCTGCGAGGAATCCCTAGGGCGAGCGGATTAACGGAAGGCTTGCGGCAGCAACGGGCAAAGACTCCCAGGGCGAACGACGGCGACGGGTGAAGAATTCCTATGACGAAATTTGTTTAGAGATTGGAAATATTTTCGGGGGCAAAAACGTCAAATTGGGTAATTTTGTGCGACAAATTTAAAAAGTGAGGACGTTAATTAGTATCAAAGGACATCACAATTATTTAAATTGATTATTTAGAAGGTTAATTAGCAGTTATAGTCCTTGTTAAAGCAGTATTATATTTCCTAGTTAGTGTAGGACTTATTTTTCTATAATGGGAATGTTAGTTTCATGCTTTTGCAACCTCTATAAATAGAAGGTGTAAGACCTACAAATTTTACCAAACAAAACATAAATAAAGACGTTTAATCTAAGATAATCAAATTTGATTAATGATATTTATTATGAGTAATTCGGTAAGTATTTTGTACTCCATTTGTTTGTTGTTTGATAGTTCCATTATTGATTATTGTACCATAATTTTCCCCCTCTTTTGATTAGGGTTCTTCCGTCTAGGCTCCATCAGTTTCCCCTCTTTTGACTTCTATCAAACAGACGTTCTTTGTGAACTGAAAATCGATAAACCGTGCTGATTTTGTGCAGGAGAAGAGCGAAATTACGACGACGCGGCTCCCCAACTCGACTGCTGATAGGATTAGCAACCTTCCTTGCAATGTGACAGAGCGGATTCTGGCCTTCTTACCGATAAAAGCTGCAGTGCAAACCAGCATCTTGTCCAGAAACTGGAGGCATCGCTGGAGAATTACTCCCCAACTTGTGTTCGATGAGAGTTTTCGAAATGGGCATGACGAGAGCAAGCTAATGGTGGACATTTACGGGGCTCTTCTGCTTCATGATGGGCCAATAACCAAGTTTGAGCTAGCAATTCGTGGATCGACAGTAGAAAGTTCACAGGTTGATAGGCTGATTCTTCACCTTTCAAGGACAGGTGTTAGGGAACTTGCCCTTCAGTTTTCGTGCTTCCATTACCCGGAGCTGCACTCCTCCCTGTTCTCTGCCTTCGACCTGAAAGCTCTGAAACTGGAGCGATGCCATTTTGGTGCACATCCCTCCTTTGTCGGATTTCGTAAGCTTAGGTATCTAGAATTGAATCACTTAATCCTGCCGAAAGGTTTCTCTGAGAATTTCCTTCCCCAGTGCACACTGCTTGAAGAGTTGAGGGTTTCAAACTGCATCCATTACAACCATGTATTCATCGAGCCATCGCTCAAAGCGATTCGCGGTCGACCTCCCGTTCTTGTCGAGAATTTCCTTCAAGTATTCCCCACTACTTTCTGTGCTATCAGTTCTAGAAAATGATGCATTTCCCATTAGCAGCTACTCCGCTGTGAAGTACGAGCTGGATATGGTTGCGCTGTTTGCTTCTCTGCCTGCACTCCAGCAGCTGACTCTTGGAATTCAATTGCTGCTGGTGAGTTTACAAACCTTTTGTTTCCTGCTGCAATTGAAATTACTTGCTTTCCAAAAAGGCTCCTGCTTTTCTCTTGACAATGCCTTGCTGACTATATAGCCTTGACTTGTTCCGTGATAAATGGCTTTGCAGATTGATCCTGAAGATGGTGGCAGTTCGCCTTCAGACGTTATTGCTAGCCTACGGAATTTGTTGGAAGCAGAGGATCGACCGGGAGTTTGCTGCCTTCAACATCTTGAAGAGCTCCACATTCAGGATAGTCGTGGTACACGAGTCGAGTTGGACTTAGTGAGGTTCGTTCTGGCCACGACTCCACAACTTCACGAAGTGTCTATTAAGCCTAACGTTACCTTGCCATTCGAAGAAGGTATGGAGTTCTTGAAAGAGGTGGCATTATACAAGCGTATTTCCAGAGAAGCAGAGGTCACGTATATCGATGAATGATGAGATTGACACTTTGTAGTTTTACCTCTCACCCGTTGGGTCGTTGTCCATCTTCTCTGGGTTTGCTTCGTCTTATGTTTTATTTTCTAGTCTGCAAATGATGTGAGGGTGTTTAATCAAACTTAGTTCAAATGTAGAAGGAGATATGAACGTTATAAACTTGTTGAGTATCAATAAACAGTAATGCATAGTTCTTCCTCTCGGAATTTTTCGTTTCAAGGCTCATAGTAATCGACATAATAGAATTCATTTTTGCTTCATAAATCGTTAGAGAATGCGCTTGATCACATCATGCAAGAAGGTTACTGATTCTATCAATGGTGCACGAAGCAAGTTCATGGTTGCTATATGCTACACAGCTTTCATGAATCCAATCAACGGAATTATGGCGGGAATGATGAGTTTGAAAGTTACGGAGAAAGGAATTGATGAGAGAGCAAAAATGATCATTTTGTGAAGTTGAAGTGACTGTTCTTGTGAAAGAGAAAAAATAAGGGACTAATTTATTAACTACACAAACTCAAGTGACCGTTTACTATACAACCACGCAAATTGGCGAGAGAAAAAAAGAGAGGGAAACATTTGTCTGAATCTGGATGTTCCTCATTTAAAAAATTGGGGATTAGGGTTCTTCCGTCGAGGCTCCATCTATTTCCTCTCTGTTTCTTCTCCTTCGGAGAGGGAAATGCATCCGATCAACAGATTTCGTTGTGAAGGCCGAGACTCGTTCTTCTAAGTTGATTTTGTGCAGCAAAGAGCGAGGATGGCGACGCGGCTCCACGAGTCGACTGCTGATAGGATTAGCAATCTTCCCGACGGCGCGATAGAAAGGATTCTGGTGTTCTTACCCGTAAAAGATGCAGCGAGGACCAGTCTCTTGTCAAGAGACTGGAGGAATCGTTGGAGAAGTATTCCCCAACTTGTCTTTGATGATTATTTTGCTCCAACCCCTGCAGGAAACTCTTATTTGCCGGATGAGAATAAGGTTATGATGCAAGTTTACGAAGCTCTAATGGGTCATGATGGGCCAATAGCTAAGTTTGAGCTCTCAATTTCTGGAATCAGGAACCCTAATGTTGATATCTTGATGCGTTACATTTCAAGCAAAGGTGTCCAGGAGCTTTCCCTTCTCTTTTGGGAATGCCATCATCTCCAATTGTATTCCTCACTGTTTTTCGCCTTACCCCTCAATCGCCTGAGGCTGCAGTATTGCACTTTTAGTCTGGCATCTTCGTTCGTGGGGTTCAGTAAGCTGAACCTCGTCGAATTCAATGATGTTTTTCTGCCTGATAATTTCTATGAAAATTTCATACCGAACTGCCCGCTGCTTGAAGAGTTGAGTTCGATTGCATCGGTACCGAGCATGTGTTTGTAGCGCCATCTCTCAAGGTTCTTTTATTTCACTCGGGGTTCGAGAAAATTTGCTTCAAGTATACCCCACTTCTTTCAGTGGTATCAGTTCTAGACACTGAAGAATTTATGTATGATGATGATTACTTTGTGAAGCATAATCCGGATATGGTCAGCTTGTTTGCATCTCTCCCTGCACTTCAGCACCTCAATCTTGGCATTGAATTACTGCTAGTAAGTTAATTTTGGCTTCTGTTTGCTTGTCCATTCACTGTGACAGCTAGCTTCTTCACTCAATCTAATGCTGCTATGCTATGTGTGGTTGCTTTCCCCAGTTCCTTGCTGATGGTCATGTCCCCTACCAGCTTCCTACAGCTCTCCACAACCTGAAATTCCTCGAAGTACCTCATATTCTTTTGCATAGGTTGCCACAGGCGCAGGTTCTTGTTTGTCTAATCATGAGTGCTCCCAACTTGCAAAGACTCACAATTAGGGTTGGTTTTTGCTGTGATTTGGTACATTTTCTTGCATGATACCGATTGTTGGTAACCCTATCTTGACATGTTGTTCCTTGGTAATCCTTGTCTTAGCTTGATGATGATCTCAGACATCCACGTTCGGAGGTTATTGCTAGCCTAGAAAAGTTGTTGGAAGCAGAGGACCAACCTAGAGTTTCTTGCCTTCAACATCTGGAAGAGTTCAACATTCAGGACAGTCGTGGTACGCAAGTGGAGCTGGACCTGGTGAGGTTTGTTCTAGCCACTGCCCCAGTACTTCGCAGGATCTCCATTAGGCGCAAAGAAAAATTGTTGTCCTCGAAAATGGTTATGAAGTTCTCGAATGAGATGTTATTATATAAGCGTATTTCCAAAGAAGCCGAGGTCAAATATGTCTAGAATTATGTGGTTGGCACTTTGTAGCTTTTACCTCCCACCTTTAAGTCGTTGTCCATCTTCTTTGATGCTGGTTCGTCTTTTATGTTCTCTTTTCTAGTTTGCAAATGATGTAAGGGTGCTTGATCCAAGTGAGTTCAACTGTAGAATGTTTGTTATTGTTAACTGCAGAGTGGCCTGTGATTAGTTGGGACTTACTTCTAGCATTGCATTTACCTCTTTGCTTATTAGTCCTTCTATGAGTATGACATCTTCCGATAAAGAAATCAGCATATACTCATTTCGCAGGGTAATAATGAATTCATTCAAAATGAACTTTGTTTGAGAAAATCAATTGTGAATCACCTATATCAATTATCAAGTGCATGTGGCATTATTATTTATTTGTTTATATGTCCGGTTTGAATTGGAATTCACCAGTGATAAAAAAAAATTTGATAGAGTAAAGTTTAGTGATTGTTCTGTTAACAATGAAAATTAAGTGACCGAGTTGTTGATGACCCAAAGTCAAGTGACCATTTATAACAATACCCCACTGGCGCGAGTCTGATAGTAAAAGAGGGAAACCATTTGTCTCGGCTTCACACTTCATAGAAAGGGAGTTAGGGTTTTTCCGGCGCGGCTAGGGTTCTTCCGGCGGGACTCCATCACGTTTTCTCTCTGTATATTCTTCACTTGACAGAGTATGACTGCTGATAGGATTAGCAACCTTCCCGGCGATGTGATAGACCACATTCTGAAGCTCTTACCCATAAATGATGCAGCGAGAACTAGCCTCTTGTCAAGAAGCTGGAGGCACCGTCGGCGAAGTATTCCTCAGCTTGTGTTCGATGGTAATTTTGCTCCGCTCTCTAAGAAAGATGTTTACTTGCCGAATCAGAAGAAGGTAATGGTGAACATATACGAAGCCGTGCTGGTTCATGATGGGCCGATGACCAAGTTTGAACTCGCAATTCCTGGATTTCAATGGTGTCCTCAGGTTGATCTCTTGATGCTTTACCTTTCCGGCAAAGATGTTGAGGAACTTACCCTTTTCTTTTGGGGTCCTGGAAACTCATACTCCCACTTGCATTCCTCTCTATTCTCTGCCTTCGATCTGAAGCGCCTGAAACTGCAGTATTGTCAATTTTGTCCACCATCTGGGTTCTCGGGATTTAGTAAGCTTACCTTTCTCCAATTGGAAGACGTGGGTATGCCCGACGGTTTCTTTGAGAATTTCATTCCAAAGTTCCCGCTGCTGGAAGAGTTGAGGGTTACGGACTGCGGTGATACAGACCCTGTGTTTGAATCGCATTCTCTCAAAGTTCTTTTCTTCCGCTCTAGCTTTCTGAAAATTTGCTTCAAGGATACCCCTGTTCTTTCGGTGCTATCAGTTCTAGATACAGGCGATTTATTTTGTGGGGAAGGAGAACCCTCTAAGGATGATTATTTGGATATGGTCCCTTTGTTTGCATCTCTCCCTGCACTTCAGCAGTTGAATCTTGGCATTGAATTGCTACTAGTAAGTTAATTTGCTTCATTGTTTGTTCATTAGTTACCTCTTCCTAACCTAACTGGCTTCTCTAATCATTTCCATGCTGCTATCCCCAGTTGCTTGCTGCTGGTCGTATCCCCTACCGGCTGCCTACAGATCTTCACCACTTAGAAGTCCTGGAAATACCTCGTCTTCTTTTGGATAGGTTGCCACAGGCCCGGGTTCTTGTTTGTCTAATCATGAGTTCACCCAACTTGCAAACACTCACCATTCGGGTTCGTTTTCTTAAGACCTTAAACTTCTCTTCTACGAATTACTACCCATGGGTATGGCTCTTCAGTCTTGTTCCTTGATGATTGTTTTGTAGATTGATGATGATGGTGATCATCCGCTTTCAGAGGCTGTTGCTGGCCTACAACAGTTGTTGGAAGGAGAAGATCAACCTGAAGTTCGTTGCCTTCAACATCTTGAAGAGTTCAACATTCAGGATGGTCGTGGTACACAAGTCGAGCTGGACTTGGTGAGGTTTGTACTCGCCACTGCTCCGAAGCTTCGTAGGATCTCTATTAAGCCGCATGATGAGCTGTCTTCTGGAAAGGTTTTGAAATTCTTGAAGAATGCGGCATTATGTAAACGTATTTCCAGAGATGCTGAGCTTAGATATGTCTGTGATGATGCAGACGAGGATGAATATAGGGTTGAGGATGAGGGTGATAATTAGTAGCACTTCCTTTCACACTTGGGTTGTTGTGAGGGTGCTTGATCTAACTTCGTTCTAATGTAGAATGTTTGAAGTGTTATCGCTCTTGTTCAAAAACAGGCTGTTTTTAACTTCTAAGTTGTGACTAATTGCTAGCATTGTCCTGCCTCTTGGCTTCTTGGTCCTTCCATGATGAGCATGACTTATTGGAATAAAGAAACCAACATATTAACCGAACAGGCTAGAGAGTTCGTCTAACTGAGAAACTTACGCACAAGGTAAGGATCACCATCTAAAAAATGAAAGTACAAAGACAGAGTTTCGTAATAACATCTGTTCTGTGAAGGAAAACAATTAACTGTTATAATAATCCTAATAATATCTAACTTGTACAACAAGTAATAGTAAAAAACCAAACCAATTAGGAATAGGAGTGCATGTGACAAGCAGTCTTCGTTTATCCTTTCACTCCGTCTCTTCTCCTTCGTCCTAAATTGATCAAGGAACTCTGCCTCTTGTGTTGATTCAGAAGCTATAGTTAAGAGCCACATGAAGCGGCTCTGCGAGCTGAATGCTGCTGATGGGATTAGCAGCCTTCCTGACGACGTGATAACGCGCATTCTGACGTTCCTACCCATAGTAGATGCAGCGAGAACGAGTCTCCTGTCAAGAAACTGGAGGCATCGTTGGAGAAGTATTCCTCAACTCATCTTCGGTGTTAATTTCCCTGGGCCCGATTCGCGGAAAACTGAGCGCATTTTACGAAGCTCTGCTGGGTCATGAGGGGCCAATAACCAAGCTTGAGCTCATACTTTATGATGTTTATCCCTTGATGCGTCACCTTTCAGGCAAAGGTATACAGGACCTTACCCTTCGCTTTGAAGACGACACCAGTGGGTACCCTCGGTATCAGTTGCATTCCTCCCTCTTCTCTGCAGCCTTTCCCCTGAAGCGCCTGACGCTCCAGTACTGCAAAGTTAGAGTGCCATCTTGCTTTGAGGGATTCAAGAACCTGACCCTTCTTGACATTGCTTTAGTTGATCTGCCGAATGATTTCTATGAGAATTTCCTTCCGCTCTGCCCGCTGCTCGAAGAGTTGAGGTTTTCGATTGCACCGGTAAAGAGCATGTGTTCGTAGCTCCTTCTCTCAAGGTGCTTTCATTTAACTCTGACTTGTCAGAAAATTTGCTTCAAGCACAATGTAGTCAAAAGCGAGTTTCTACGTAGAAACGTTTTGATGATCTAGAAGCGTAAAATCGTAAGTTTTTAAGTTTTAAAGCGGAGTTTTTAACTACATAAGTTATAAAAACTGAGATTTTGTGTAGAAGCGTTTTAGTGACCTAGAAACGTAAAATCGTAAGTTTCTAAGTTTTAAAGCGCGATTTTGACTACATTGTTCAAGCATACCCCACTTCTTTCAGTGGTATCAGTCCTAGTCCTAGACAACAGTGTTCCTCATGAACATGTTTTTGAGGAAGGCCCCTTTGTTAATGTCAATCTGGATATTGTCAGCTTGTTTGCATCTCTCCCTGCACTCGAGCGCCTCGATCTTGGCAGTGACATGCTGCAGGTAAGTTCAATTTATTTCTAAATAGTTTGTTCAGTGGTTACCACTGGCTTCTGTACTCATTAATAACATGCTGCTAAAAATGTTTCCTTTTTCCCCAGTTCCTTGCTGATAATGGTCATGTCCCCTACCAGCTCCCTAAACCCGTCCACAACCTGAAATTCCTCAAAGTACCTCGCATCCTTTTGCATCGGTTGCCACAGGTTCGGGTTCTTGTGTGTCTGATCATGAGCGCGCCCAACTTGAAAAGACTCACCATTCAGGTGGGTTATTTTTTTTTTTTTACCCCTTTCTGTTGTGAATTGCTAATTTCTCTTGTATATATGATTAGTGGTTGTTGGGTGCTCACACTCTGTATCCTTAACTTGTCACTTGACGAATGATTTTGTAGCTCGGTGATGACAACGAGCATCCGCCTTCAGAGGTTGTGGCTAGTCTGCAGAAGCTGTTGAATGGAGAGGATCACGACCCTGGAGTTTGTTGCCTTCAACACCTTGAAGAGTTCAACATTCAGGACAGTCGTGGTATGCAAGTCGAGCTGGACATGGTGAGGTTTGTACTAGCCACTGCTCCAAAACTTCGTAGGATCTCCATCAACCCTCAAGCTAAGTTGTCCGATAGAGAGGGTATGCAGTTCTTGAAAGAGGTCACATTATGCAAGCGTATTTCCAGAGACGCAGAGGTCGTATATCTCTGAACTAAACGTGAGGTTAACAAGAAGGCCGATCATGTCACCCGAATGATTACCACGACGCTTGGATAAGCATGAACTTATGATTGGAGAACACATGGGAGGAGATTTAACTAAGTTTAGCTTGTTTCCCAAGGGCTATGCTCTCCATTAGCTTGAAGAGAAGTTAAATAAGTAAGATTTTGTAGCCATTGAGTCAGAAGAGAAGTTGTCTAAGGTATAGAAGTTCTGGGATTTTTGGAAGAAAGAGATGACATTTTGTAAGTGTATTTCAGAAGAAGCAGAGGTACTATGTGTGAGAACTACGGATCTAGGCGTGTGATTTAGGGATTAAACGAACTAGGGATTGGGGAATTTAGGTGAGGAAGAAAGGGGAAATTTGGGATGAGAGAGAGAGAGAATCGGTTCCCGGGATGGGAGCCGCCGAAGGTGAGAGGGAGAGGAGGGGGTTCGGCCAAGGTGAGTTGAGAGAGAGAGAGTTGGGAACAATTCTGTATTATTGCTTCCCCTTGACCTAACATAACATCATATATATATATATATATATATATATAACCCGACTAATTACTGTTTACTACCCGAATAATTAACCTAACCGAATGAACCCCCATAATTCTCCTATCCGACAATATCCGAATAATACGAAATAACAAATAGACTCTCAACAATTATGTTTCTCACAATCCATCCCCCTTGAAACCCACCTTGCCCTCAAGGTGGTCCATGGGTCTTGTCCTCCTCTTTCTTGTCTTCTCCTTCAACGCCCCTCTCCATTTCTTCGCCTTCATCCTCCCAATTCCCGACTAGCAGCATTAAGTGATTCTTGGCGCACTGGTGGCCCACAGTATACCTCTCATCACAGTTGAAACAACGCCCATCCCGGCGTTTCTGGTCCATCTCCGCCTGAGTCAGCCTCACGAACCCACGCGGTGGTGCTCTGGCCGGAAATCGAGTCACGCCAGTGGTTCCGGTCGCCGGGGGACTTGCTGCCGCCGCCGGTGCTCCCGCCCCGGTACCGGCTCCACCACCTACTCCACCACTGGCCTTCTGTATCCTGCCCACAGAGGATCTCCAGCTTGCCAGCTCCTCTTCCTTCCGCCCTGCAATCCTAAAAGCCACCCGGAGAGATTCCGGCTCAAAGACCTTGACTGCAGTGGCCAACTCAGGCCTCAGGCCCGCCATGCACAGCCCCACCAGAGTTTCTTCGGTCATTTCCTTGCATTGGTTTCCCAGCTTCAAGAACTCCGCCCTATACTCCGCAACTGACCCGGTCTGTTTAAGCTTGGCCAGCTGCTCCGGTGCCCAGCCTTCTGCCCGGCCGAACTGATACCTGAGCTCATCCTGGAACCGGGCCCAGGAAATCCTCTCACCCGCTGCTGCGTACGCCCGTTCAGTCCACTCCCACCACTGGAGGGCATCCCCCTCCAAATAGAAGGACGCCAGATGCGCCTTCCGTTCCTCCCTAATCGGATGATTCCTAAACCACCTCTCCGCCGCATACAACCATAATCCCACATCACCGGTGCCGTCAAACTTCGGAAACTCAATAACTGGCGGTTTAGCTCTAAACACCAATTCATCCTCATAGTCATACAGAGGATTGTTGTACCCGTACCTGTTACCGCCGGATGGCTGCATCGAGTGACCCGACCCATGATGTCGGTACTCTGGCCCTGCGTTCTGCATCCCCGAGTAGGCCCAGTCGGCCATCTCATGCTGGTACGCCTCTCCTCCCCCAGCCTTCGCGCCGGATCCTTGACCTTCCTCCAACCTGCGTCCGGGTCGTGCGCCCTCGGTCCGTGGAGTGCCCCATGGCGGATAACCAGCCTCGGGGCCCTGTCTGTCGCGCCTAGGCCCTCCTCCTGGCCCGTACCTGCTGCTGCCCATCGGCCCGCGCCCCGGTTCCACCCGGTTCGAACCGGTCCGGCCAGGTTCGGCCCCGCCCGTCTCGGTCCGCCCGATCCCGGTCCGACCATAACTGGTTTGACCGGCCAACAACCCAACCGGTCGACCGGTTTGGTCCAGCATGGGTTCAGTCACCCAATTCTGATCGGGCCCATCGGGTCCAGGGCCCATCTCCCATTCCTCCTGATCCGCGAAGCTCATCTCCTCATAGTCCGGGCCCAATTCTTCGAACTCCACCACCTTCTTTTGCCTGCGGGCCTCCGCAATGTCTTGGGCCGTCGGAGCCGGAAGCAGGCCTGGCCCACTGAAGACTGGTGCGGATCCAGCTCCCCTGCCCGCTCCTCCTGCTGGTTTGGGCCCGCCGGGATGGCCGCCTCCTCGCCCCACTGGGCCTGACGGCCGCGCCGCCCTTGATCCCCCACCGCCGGCCACCTCGCCCGGCGCCGCTAGCTGCGCGCCGCCTGCCTCTCCAGCCGCGGCTCCAGCCGAGCCCGCCGCCGTGGCCGCGGCGATCGCCGCGCCTCCTTCCCCGCCCGCCGCCGCTCCTGGCGGGTCGGTCTCCTTCTTCGCGGCGGCCGTAGCTACAGCCGCTGCCATCTTCTCCACTGCCTCGGGTCGGTCTCCCGGATTTGGCTCCTTGCCTTGAAAGACGCCGATCAAGACCTGCGTCATGGTGTCAGCCAAAGCCTTGCACAGCTTCTCTGTCATCGTCGTACCCATCTCCTCAATCGAGGAAGTAATCCGCTCCCCCAGCGCCTCTAGGGCCTCGGTCGAGTCTCGGGAAGCAGCAGCGGCTCGCTCTGTGGATGCCGTTAAGCTCTCCAACGTTGTTACGACCGCGTCGTACTTGTTATGCGTGATGTCCTTCATAGTCACGATCTCCTGGCCCTGTCTCTGCTGTTGCGGTTTGTCTGTGTTCGACATCTCGATTCTTGCAGCTCAGTAATCAGCACGCCAGCCAGGCTCTGATACCACTGTGAGAACTACGGATCTAGGCGTGTGATTTAGGGATTAAACGAACTAGGGATTGGGGAATTTAGGTGAGGAAGAAAGGGGAAATTTGGGATGAGAGAGAGAGAATCGGTTCCCGGGATGGGAGCCGCCGAAGGTGAGAGGGAGAGGAGGGGGTTCGGCCAAGGTGAGTTGAGAGAGAGAGAGTTGGGAACAATTCTGTATTATTGCTTCCCCTTGACCTAACATAACATCATATATATATAACCCGACTAATTACTGTTTACTACCCGAATAATTAACCTAACCGAATGAACCCCCATAATTCTCCTATCCGACAATATCCGAATAATACGAAATAACAAATAGACTCTCAACAATTATGTTTCTCACACTATGTCAAGTCACACTTACGTACCAGTAGTTTTAACACTCACTCTTTGGTTCTTCTTTGATTGTGCTTCTGCCCTTCATCTTCTATTTATCCTTTTTAATTTGTGATGAAGGAGTGAGCCTGATGAACACCCTCTTTCAATATCACATGTTCATGTTGAGGGGGAGGCAGAGGCAGAGGCAATCAGTATGCAATACCGCTAATTGATGGCTCTCTCGTGCGTCACCATTCGTCGAACCTGTCACAATACAATGTGTTTGTAAATACGGTTCAACAAATGAAAAACGTACACAAATAATTCAGTGTGTGCGGCCTCTTATGCACCAACATGTTACCGAAATTGCGGCATATGACTATTGAGAGTGCATATGTTGCTTGCGTATGCTCAGTGGCGGATCCAAGAATTCTACATAGGGGTCTCCTCTCTCAAAAATTAAATTTAATTAAATATTAAAATTGAATTAGTAATGATTAAATATGAAAATATCTAGCTAATAAAAGTTACAATAAAAGTCCATACGTATTTCGTAAAATAGTAAAATACATTCGGTGTCTATACTGCTCAACAAAGATCTCTCGACATACCCTATTAGACAAGGGTATCTCGTAATTGGGTTTAATCGTTAGGTTTTGAAAATAATTTGGGATAAGAATAACATTTTATTGTTATATTGGGATCTAAAACACAATAACAAATGAGTTTTAGTATAATTGAAAATATGTTTACTAATAGTGACAATGTCCCAAGTTTAAATCACATAAACTACTACTTAAAATATTACTAGATATGCTCGTTCGCTACGCTTCACGTAAAGCGAGTAATGAGAAATGTTACATATGATTGTAACTTGTAAGAGAGAAATAAACTAACCTATAAATAACACAAACCCAAAAAAATGATGACCTAACTCCCATTTGATGAATAAGAACATTTAAGCAGTTAAATAAGAATCGAGGAAACACATTTTGCAATAAGGTGAAGCAAATAATAAAAAATGGACTCGTTGGCCAATGAATAGGTACCAATTGAGTACTACACGTGCTTGAAATACGTGTGATCAACCGACCTATAGTTGAATAGACGGAAAACTAACAAAGATTGTCAATCTATTAGAATTCGAAATTGAAAAATGCTTTACCGATATACACGTGACCCCGAATACGCGTGATCTATCTACATTTAGTTGAATAGTTGAAAAACTAAGAAAATGACAATAAATAAGAATTCAAAAACGAAATACATATCGCTGGAATATGCGTCAAATACGAACAAAGATTTTGATTTAAGGATAGCAAAAATAAAAGAAATAAAAAAGAGGATTGCTTAAAGGTTTTTATAGGCCATATATGTGATTAAGAGAAATGGAAAAAAGGAAAAATGAGATAAATATATGTGCCTACTTGCAAATGAAGGGAAAATAGAAAAATAAATGAAAATTTTACAAATATGTGAGTTTAGTGTAATGTCACTAAAGTTTATGAAAATTACAAAAATCACTCTTAATAAATTAGTAATCTTAACTGTTGAAGTTATTTGTGGTTTTATCATTTAATGAACATAAACCTAATGACACTAAAGCTTCTTAAAATTACAATACGCTTAACGAATAGTAACTTGTACTTGAAGATATTAATAAAATAAAATAGAGAATCGAAAAATAAAATAGAAGAAAAATAAAAAAATATATAATTGAAAAGATTATTGAACTAATGTCCTTCTTCTTGCCATGTGTCCTCTTCCAATAATAACATGTGTCTAGGGATGGCAATTGGTCGGGTTGGGGCGGATTTTGTCAAACCCAAACCCATGAGTTTATCTGCCAAAAAAACCCGGGGTAAAACCCGCTGGGTTTGAAAAACTCAAACCCAACCCAACCCGCTGGGTATCCGTTGGTTTTTATGATAAAAAATTTACAATAACAAATTTCTTTCAAAATAAAAGTTTAACATCAATTTTCTCATACAAAAAACACAAATCTAGAACATACAAGCAATCCGCTAATGATCAATACCAATTGTTCAAAATTAAAGATAAACATCTATAAACAACAAGATTAATTGAAATCTTCTTCCTCGTCAAATAAGTTTCTTCACTCTCCACTCCATAATATCAACTTCATTCTAAACAATTAGAAAGAACAAATTATACATGTCTCCACAAACATAAATAATATTAGTTGTTTAAAGAAGATATATTATTTAGAATATCAAATATACCGGGAAAGTTCCTACAAAAAAAAAATATACCGGGAAAGTAATTATATGTGTGGGCGGGTACCCATGGGGCGGGTTTACCTAAACCCAAACCTGATCCAACCCGGTGAATAGTGTAGCGGGTTTAAACCCGAACCCGGCCCAAAACCCGTCAACACGGGTTTTACTCGTGTTGACCGGGTTGGGTCGGGTGGGTACCCGTGGGTTTGGGTTTTGTTGCCATCCCTACATGTGTCCTCCATCAATAATGCCTCTCGAGTTGGGGTTATTTACGAAATGACCGCTTAATGAATAATAAGCTTAGAAGTGTGGCTTTTATATAAGATATTTGTACCAATACGCAACTACTACGGGAGGTTGAATAACCATTTTCCCAAATTTTAAGGGTGTCCCACTACCACTTAAACATTTTCTTTCTCATATGCAAACTATTATCGGAAGATGAATAATCATGTTTCTAAATTTGAGAAATGTCACGGGACACACCTAAACATGCATGTATCTGCCACTCCGTATGCCCAAGTAGTCGGAAAAGGTACACAGCTTTCAAACTGCGCCTTATGAGAAAGCTCTTTTAACTAATGGGAAAGGGGGGAAAAAGGACCTCCCGCAGCAGCACAAACGTTCACGTTGAGAAAAAAATAAGATGATTTTATAGCCTTGTAGCCAGGAAACAGAGCAGAAGTTTCCTACTCCAAACCTTTTGGTGGGCTTTTCTGCTATAAAGCTCGCAAAGCGAAAACTGCCTGCCTATAAGGTGGCCGAGAACAAATTATGGGAACAACAATGGCGAAGAAGGCTTCATACCTCACTATAGTTGCTGCTGCAGCTCTCATTCTGGTGTTGGCTCTGCAGCTGCTAGCAGAATCCGTACATGGTGCTCAGATACACAACAACGCAAAAGGTTCGTTGGATGTTTCTTTGCGATCTTCTTTTTTCGATGATTGATTACGTGCAGATAATTCATCAAGTGGTGTGAGAATTTTATGATCTGTAGTTTGAAATGTATTAGATATTATTGCGGGAAGCAGCGTGAATGGAAGCACATCGCAGCCGGCGAAACATGGATGATTTCTCTAGCACTGAAGTGGTTTGAAGGATACTGCAGTGCGTTTCGCTGCGGATAGGAAATGCTAACTACAGCAGATTATAGAGTCCATGCTAAGGAATTTCTTTCATAATTACTATGATTCATCTAGCCATGTTTACGTATCAACCGAGTGTTAAATTTTGACGTAGATAAGAAGATCGAGTGTACTAAAAGATGTACCAAAGTGTCAACTTCGTTCTTACCAGTATAGATTATCTTTGCTTCTTTGAAGGCATGCCTATATTCTGTCACCTCCTTCAAGAAATATAGATTACCTTTGCTTCCTTGGATGCACGCTTATATTCTATCAACCTCCTTTGAGAATTCGAGACGCTTTCAGGAGTGCAATTGACCATCCGGCTTAATGATCCAACGAAGTAATGTCGCGGCAGCTAGTACAAACATTCCCACAGCATTTACAGAAACAAGGGATTGATCCTGACCATGAAATTTCAAACAAGTGAATGCATATGGAAGATGACCCAAACAGGCATGAAGGACTCAAGCTACTAAGTGTCACCCTCGTCATCCGAAATATATACGACCTCTGCTTGTTTGGAAGCACGCTCATATCGTATCAACTCCTTCAATAAATTGTGGCGCTTGCTAAGGTCCAGTTCTTTGGCTGGCTCGATGAACATTCTCAGAAGTTGTGGAGCGGTGCCCAGTACAAACCTCAACAGGTCCAACTCAACCTGTGTACCATCGATTGCACTAATCCTGAACTCTTCAAGGCACTGAAAACAACTTGCAGTAGGATGATCCTCTGCTTCCAACAACAACTGTAAGCTGTCAATAACCTCTGTTGGTGGAAGGGAAGCGACATATCCGGGCTACAACAGCATTCATCACAATATTTTAGGTCAGGCTATAGAATCGACAATGATACTGACATTTTTGCACATCTAAAATCTTCAGTTAAGAACACATTTAAACCAACCTCTATGGTGAGCTTGAGCAAGTTGGGGGAACTCATGATTAGACAGAGAAGAACGCGTGCTTCCAACGAACGATACAGTAAAATGTTGCGCAGTTTGAGGACCTTCAGTTGATGCAGATGTGTGGGAAGCATGAAGGGGACACTACCTGTGGCAAAGAACTAGAGAGCAAAACAAAGAACAAGATAGACATGTTAGGAAAGGAATTGACCGTGTCAAATAAACCGCGGTTTCAGAATACAAAATTTACTTGCAGCAACTCAGAGCCAACAGTTAACTGCTGGATTGCAGGGAGCGAAGCAAATGCAGCTACGATATCCGGGTTATACACATCAAAGTCGCTCTGTTTACAGTACTTTCGGTCATCGACTGGCGCGATAGATACCACTGAAAGAAGCGGGGTATGCTTGAAGCAGACATTCCAAACATTGGATTCAAACACTCGGAGCGAAGGAGCTACCAATTCAGCCTTCAGATGGGATTCCACAGCATCAGAGTCGCAGATAAAAAGCTTCAGATCTTGGAGAAGCGGGCACTTGGGAAGGAAGTCGCTATAAAAACTAGATTCCACATTTACGTTTGTCAATTCAAGATGGGTAAGCTTACTAAACCCTAGAAAGCAGGATGGCGCTGCAGAAATGTCGCAATCCTGCAGCGTCAGGGACTTCAATTGGCACGCAGAAAACAGAGCAGAAGGCATCTCGCGCCCGATCTTCGGGTGGCCGTCGTTAAATTCGTCGTCGCTGAAGATCAGGGCGAGTTCCCGAACAGATTTCTTGGCGAGGAAGTGAACCAATAGGTTGATGTCAGGGGAAGGCCGCCTGAGTCCAGGGATTTTAAGCGCGAACTTCGTTATGGGTGCATCACGAACCAGCAGAGCTTTGTAAATCTGAAACATGAGTTTACTCTCATTCGAAGCGTAGTTTCCCTCTTCGGGGATTCGGCCGAAACCGCCGTCGAACACGAGTTGAGTATTTGCTCCCCAATTGCGCTGCCATTGCTTTGACAGCGTTGCTGTTTTCGCTGCATCTTTTACAGGTAAGAACGCGAGGATGCGTTGTATCACATCATCAGGAAGATGGCTAATTCTGTCGGCATCGGACTTCCTCTGCCGCTTCATTCTAGATTTTGTGTTGCACCCAACCCTCGCAAAGAATGATACAACCCTAATTTATTTGGAGGGATGACAATGAGTCGGGTTGGATCAAGTTTCTCTAAACTCAAACTCAATTCGACGGGTGCATCCATAAAAAAAAAATCTGTAAAATATTCATTGGGGTTAGAAATACGGGTGCATGGGAACCATGAATTTATGGATATAATTACAAATAATTTTTTTCCCCCAAAAGATATCATATATTGATCCAAACAAATAGATAATTACATCCTGGATACCAGTCAGGCCCGGAAATCAAAGAAGCGACCTACAGTCGAATCTACAAACTCCTATAAGGAGATTCCACGGGAGAAGGGGGTTTAAACCCATATTAAAGCCTTGAGCGCATCCCACGGAAGGATACAGGTGTCTTTTCATTTTTTTAGACTTTTACGGCCTTTCTCACTAACTCCGCTGACTAGAAATAATTTCATTATTGGGCCTAAAGCCCCAAACTACAATTTGGTCAATTTATAGGCAATTTTTTTCTCCTTTTAGTTTACGGTTATTAGAAAGATATTATGTTAATTGGTAATCAAATGAATTTGATACAACTTCAGTCACTTTGAACTCTAATTAAAACACTATATATGTTAAATAGATCTCTTTTATTGGTGGACAAAAAAGTGACACCTCGATTAAAATATGTTAACCTTCACTCCAAGTTGGTCGACCAAACAATCACAAGATCGGCTATTTGATATTTCGATAGACCATTATCTGTAATATATATAGGGCCACAAATTTCTATATGTACATGTATGTTTCTTTGAAATGGTCGGCATGAAAGACAATGTGATCAACATGACTTAAGCCACACAAATTATATCACATAATATAACCATATTAATCAGGTCGATCAACAGCTAGGGTCGTTTGGTTTTGGTGATATTTAAATCAATACATGCATTGTAATATACATGCAATTAAGGAAAATGATATAATGTACTTTACATTGTTTGGTTTTGGGATAGTTCTTTTAGTATTCAACATGTTATTTTACTTTTTTTGAGAAAGGTCAATTTTGCCCTTGCTTTTATGAGAACATATATATAACTAGGGGTATACTTGGAAGAAAAAAGAAACCCAACAATCTCTTCAAAACTATCTCAACAATCTCAAGTTTTAGTAGAGATAGTACTATCACTCATTTTGCGTGATAGTTTCCATCACATCAAGCAAACAATGCATGTATTGTTTGTGCAGAAAATAAAAATAAAAACGATGCATTGTGGACAATACATTACATGCATTGTAACTATCCCAACCAAATTATCACAAAAACCAAAGTTTTCACACAGATTTTTTGGAGTTTGAACAAAATCAACACAGGCATGCCCAACCAAAAATGTCAAAATTTGCTTTGTTCACTCTGGAAAAAAAAAGCGAAGATCTATTTCAAATCCCATTCAAATTCACTTTAAATGTTCAAGTGATTAATTAGACGGAAGTTTATATGTGCGTGTAATATTATAATTTGTGGTGAGAATAAAAACAATATGAAATTCTTTTAGGAATATTATTTTTTAACTTGAGAAAAAAATGGTGTTTCACATGTGTAAATATTTTATCATTAAGTTCTTGCTTTAAATGAAACACATAAGAAGAAAAAAGAGTCTTATTTTTTGGTGAAAAAAGAGTCTTATAATAGTGGAGGTAGTGTTTTGAGAGACAATGACATTGTTGAGAAAAAAGTAGAGACAACTAATTGTGGAGATAGAATTATAAAAAATTAACAAGATGTGCAAATATGAGACAATATTCATTATTTGAAAGACAGTAAAAAAATAAGTTTCATATTTTTAAAAAAATATCAATTTATTTAGCTCTCAATGAAATTCAAGAGATGAAGTAAGAGAACAAACGCAGGAGACCAATCATAAATATTGATAGTGGAAATAGAGGTGTTATTAACGGAGATGAAGGTGTTATTGTTAGTGGGATGATAATGCTAATGAGAAAGCAATCACGAAGTCAAAAAGAAATTTATAAAGTAATTCTAACTGAAGTGTGATTTGAATACATTTTGTAGAAGTTGATTCCGTTGCATGATTTATTTTAAATTTCGGCATTGATATTAGTTGACGAGTTGGTATGATATGATTTTTTTTTCAAATTTACGATTCATGTTTTTATTTTATTTTATCAATAATTTAATATTTGGATTAATTTATGATAGCAAATTAGAAAATTTATTATTGTTGTTTATACCATTGATAAAAATATATCCGGCCAACGGGCCGGGTTCAAATCTAGTACAAAGAGAGGGCTTTTCTAGCTACCGAGTGAGCTACCATATTGTTCTCTCGACCTACAAATCGCACATTAAACCCCAGATAGGCATGAAAATAATGACATATCTCCTCCAACACAGCACCCCACCGGTTATCCCTCGTGTAAGTTTGATTAACCTTATCAATAAGCACTTTCGCGTCACCCTAATAATTTATTCGAACACCTACATCATAGTATTATCAATATTTCTCCTATTAACACTAACAATATTCATAAATTATCTATAATATCATGACTATATTTCCACAAAAACTAAAAATATCTATAAATTACTCATATTGTTAACATTATACACAAAACAATATCGTTTGCTCTTTGTGAGCGTGTCCGGTGGAAAGCGGGCCCAGTTTTAACAATCACTAGAATCAATACCCACGGCTACGCCGCAGGCACTTAAATTGCATCAGTTACATATCATGTAAAAACAATAGCGTATATATTTAATACAAAATGAAGTTATCTACTTAGGATGCATGAGGGTCGGGCATACAATCCTACAAAATACAGGCCTATTTATCAACCGATGATTTGAGCGTAGCAGGACCAAAACCCAACTACAAACAGAACCTGGAAATTGAGCAGGAAAAGACAATCAAGTTGAAGACCTGAACTGGAAGTTGGTAAGGCAGAACATTTTTAAACCTCTGAGATAGCTTGATTTTTAGCACCTGCAGACAAAGTAGATTGAGAAAATAAAGTACCAATTAGTTCCATGCAGCAGACAACCAACAACCATGGAATGGCAAGAAATCCATAATCATCTTTTCCCCTTTCCTTTCCTTTCCCTCTTCAATAAAATCTTCACCTTCAAACTTAGTGTTTGAACCTAACTGAGTGTAGGAGGGAGGTTCGAGTAGGAGTTTGGGTCAAGAAGAAACGCGAGCGTCGGGTTTATCGGTGGGAGAAGGAAGGGTGAGTCAAGTGAGAGTGAGCCTTCGAACTCTTAGAGAGAGAAGTAGTTGTTATAGAGCGAGAATGGCTAAAAATCCGATCCCCTCACCCACCGTAGTAAATGCCATATTTATAGGCTTCATGGTGGTGGGTGAGTGGTTGACATAAGAGGGTATACAATGATGTGACTACTGGGATACAATGATGTGACCCATGATGTGACTACTAGCATACTAAGGACTTCTAGGCCATCTCTCTACCTAGGATGAGTCAGAGATCCACTCATGACCCTGAGGTGACCACTCGCTGAGGAGGAGTGCGCTTCTCTCCTCTTCTGATTTGGCCTACGCTTGTCCTCTCCTAGCGCATGTAGTGGCGCTTAAGCTCTTCGCGCCAAGACGTGGTTGGCCACGATGAGGCGGCACACTCGGGGTCCTCGCGCCGCCGCGTCGGGATCTACTTAGCTGCGCCCGGTTCCTTGGCGTGATTAGGCCCGAGTCTTATCCCCAACACTTAGGGATGGCAATTTTGCCCATACCCATGGGTATTTTACTATCCAACCCAATTGGGTTGGGTATGAAATCCAAATATATGGATATGGGTAAAGTTTAATGGGTTTGTACCCATACCCATTTACTTTGGGTTGGGTTTATAACAAATGGATTTGGGTTTGTACCCATGCCTAAATACAAATTACAGTTTTGGTACCTAAACTTAATAGATATGCATATTTAGTACCTAAATTTAATTTTTTTTGCATATAAGTCCTCAAAATATCGATGGAAAATTACGTTTTGGTACCTAAATATTTTTGGTCTTACATTTTGGTACCTAAATTTTTCAAGTTTTACAAATAAGTCCAATTTTTGCATGTGTAGTTAAAACACCCTCAAGTAAATGGATATCCATATCCAACCCATACCCATTTGGATAATATCCATATCTAACCCAAACCCATATACAAACCCCAAACCCATACACACATCACCCAAACCCTACCCATAATAAATGGGTCTACTTGGGTTTGGGCAAAATTACCCATGGGTGGGTAAATTGCCATCCCTATTCAAACTAAACCCTTCTTTCCCCTCTTTGGCAGAAAGAATCATAATAGTATATTACTCCATAATATGGTTGATCAAACATCTCTCTCTTCCTTCTTGGTCCCTCTCTCCCTTATCTATTCAACTAAAGCCTAAATATAACAACTGTTTACTATCGCCATGACCTCCTGCCAAATATTCTTTACCAATCGAATTCAGGCAAGAAACTGTAAGAACGATTTTTGAACTATAAATAGGAAGCTAAAACAGGAAGAACTGAAGAGAAGGATTACTTGGTACCTGTTCGGTTGTTCCTGTTGCTAGCCTCTATGGTCTGTAAAGTGCAGATAGAAGAATGACATCAAATTGTTCATTAGTCTCATCCAACAGCAGACCACTACCGGAATCTGCACAGGATTAAACATCGACATTAGGCCTGCGAAGAGCAGATCGAAGAATGACCCGAAACTGTGCGGCAGTCTCATCCAACAGCAGAAAAATACAGATCAAGAATTAAGAATGACCTGTTAACTCTGCATTAGCCTCATCCATTTCAACACAACACCAGGCAAGGAGAAGCTGTTGCCGAAGCACGCAATCAACTCGAGAAGCTTCAAGCTTGCCTTCCCGTTAAATTTTGCAGCATAAGCATAAAGAAAAATAAAATCAAAATGTTGTCCATGCACAAAACACAATCATCAACAACTCATAGGGAAGTAGTAAGTATATGGTTGTTTTCTTGCTAGAAATGAAGTGTTGGCAGAACACTCAGTACCCAGTACATTCAACATAGTAAGAGAACATTATTAATGTGGAAATCAATTTAAGTACATTCCATGTTCTTCTCTTCCAGCGTGCTTTGCACTGTCAAAGAATAATAAAGGTTACATATCTAATCAAAGCAAATCATGCTACAACATAATGAAGCCTCATTTCAAGCCACAGATTACTACTGAAAAGGGTAAAATGTATTAATTTCAAAATGTGGCATATGTATTCTATTCGACTTAGAGGTATATACCCAGGTACACCATCATGTAGTTGATAGAGATAGCCTAGAATGCAAAATGTGGTGAAGCTACTAAGTTAAATGAACATTGCAGAAGCATCATCACAGCAGCACGCAAAAAAGTGCAGCTGCTCCCAAAAAAAAACTTGGAAGAGAAGGATCTGACATAAAGACACAACTTTCTAAACATGAATGTGAAAGCAAGCAATATGTTTGTGTAACTCATGATTTTGAGCTCTTGGTAGCAATTCTTTTGTGCTAACAATCAAATAGTTTCTTGCCGCATCCTTGGCTGCAATATCATCGTACCAAGAATTGTTACAACATCATTGACTACAACCTACAGATAAACCAAATGAAATAATCCGAACATCTACATTCAACACTTCAATAGAATTAAGCAGAGCACAGAGAAAAACAGAAAATATCTGCATCCAGCAAATTTGCAGAAAGAACATGTACATGGCAAGGCCTCAACTGAAGTTGCAGGAAAAACATGTATATACATCAACATGAGCAAGCATCATTAATTCAAAAGAGGCAGCAGGTAAAAGCAAAAGAATGGCTCACACAAAAGCTAGCAAAGCAGTAGCTGCTATATAAAGTTTCAGATTGGTCTATAATGCCAACTTCACATACTTTTGGTACAACCCATAAGTGGCTCATTGGACGAACTCCTAGGAGCCATGATTGGGCATATAAATATCATCACTGGTTGAGCTTGGATAAGGAAACTCAATTTATAGACAGCCATAAACACACAATAGTCGAATAAGACAGAGTCCGAAGAAAATAATGAAAAGAAGGGAAAGCTCGATAAGTTTGTTACTCACATTTGCTGGTTCTCTGGCGTATGAAACCCCGCTGCAAAAAGGAAAAACCATTAAATCGCTAAATTGAGTTCACAAACAACAAACAGAACGATAATAAACACAACCAAAGGGAGATTAGAAAGCAAAACATAAATTCAATCGCTTTTCTCCGAACCGAAGCCAACAGGAACAAACTGAGAATTTCAGAACAACAAAGAACAGATCGAAGAACAAAACAAAAATATTAAATTGAGTTTCAGTAGTAACTTAGATTTGATTGGTTTCAGTCCCAAGTTGAAATTTTGTCACCTTCTTGCCCCCTCTCACATCATCTCTTGTTAGCATTGCCATCTGTTAATCCCACACAACACATTCAAAAATATAAAAGAGAGAGATATTGAGTTTATCAGTACAGCTAACTAAACCACACCTCCCTCTTCCCACGCTTTCCATGTTTGCTGTTGCTGCTCCATGGTTAGCATGTGCCTGCAACAGTTAAATCAAGAAAAGTGAGAAGCAAGTTCGTTTTTTGGCGGCAATTAAACTGAAACTGCATACCTCTCGTTGGCTTTTCTTGTGCTTCCTGGTCTTTCGCCCCTCCTTGGCCGCCGCAAGCTTCTTCCATCCTGAACATCGGAGATTCCACCAACTCTCACCCCGTCCTCCTGCTGGTCCATCATCACCACCACCTTCAGTTTCCGTTCTTCATCCATGGATAGGGCTTGAATAAAAACTCGACGAAGCCATGTCATCGGAATCTTCATTATTACTGCCGTGCTCTGCAGCTAGAGTCCAAAACCGAGAAGCTAAAATTTGAAATATCGACAAAGAAGACAGATAAGTAAGGGCTCACCATCACAGGCGATTCTGTCACCGCCTTTGGTCGTCCTGTTCCAAATCGATTTCATCTTCCTCCGCTTTCAGATTCGGGTTCGGGTTCCACCGACCAGCAGTGAGGAAACTTTTAGGGTCTTTGTTGTAAGAGAGAAGAAGGGGATTGTGGAGGGGAAAAGTGGGGTAACCATTTGTCTCCCACTAAGTACAATGGTAGCCAACTGGTGGGGAGAGCACAACACTGTAGAAACAGTACGAAGACAGGGTCACGGGGATTGGATGTACGGGAACGCAAAGTGGAGTGGCGAACTGACGGGAAGATGTGCTCTTCCGGATTTCCAGCTCCAAGACTAAAAGTAAAGGCATGGACTTAATGTACGGAGAGCATGGTGGAGTGGACGGAGAAGGGGCAAGGTTTCATCTGTCGAGGCTGGCAGGCAGCAATTCCAGAAGCAAGATTTTGTCGCTGCAAGGTGAAGCCAGAGGAGGCCGCTGAGGGGTGCACGCACAAAACGCCAAAAATTGAAACAGTAATAGAAGTGTTGAACCAATAAAGTGTACCTAGCTTTCATGTTCTATATAATTCCAGTCTTTTTTTAACAATCTTTTCTTATTTTTTAATGTAGTCTTGTTGTTATGGTATGCATTCTCCTGATAACTACTATACTATGCATTCTTGTGTTTTTTGTATGCATTCTTGTGTTTCTGGTATTCTTGTGTATTTTTAGTATGCATTCCTTATTTTTATACAATCTTATAATTTTTAATATAGATTCTATAGTTTTTTATATGCATTCAAAAGTTTCTAGTATGCACTCCTATGTTCATATTTTTTGTATGCAAACCTAGTTTTTGGTATGCATTCTCTAATTTCTTATATGCATTATAGTGTTTGTGATATGCATTGAAAAATTTATGGTATGCATTCCTAACATTTGAGATATGCATTACAATACTATGGTATTCATTATGATGTGGTGCACCTTTGTCACTAACAAAATTTTCATACTTTAGTAGTCATGGACTTTATATTTGTATTTCACTTAATGGTCACCCTCCATTCAGTTCCATTTACATAATTCTACCTGTACTATGAAAACATGTATCACTCTGGATTGCTCAGATCCAAAACTATGAACCGGAAAGGTAGAGGCCATAATGAGGTTCTTTATTTAAAGGGCCATCGACATGAAGAAGGTTATAAAAGTTGGGGCTGCTGGTTCATATCACTCAAGATGACAGCAGCAACATGGCATGGCAATGGTCTTCCAATCCCTAGGTACCAATTGAAAAGGGTGTGGCAGTCCATAAAAATGCCAAGGGTTCTATCACCCTTGGTAATTACGGTATTATATATATACTGGAGATGCACATAATGTGTGTTTTTTATGGTAGGTATGCATGAAATATGATGCCAAGTGGTTACTATGCATAATGTGCTTACAGAGTGATATAATGAGGAAAATATAATATAATTAACAATTAAATACAACTAATAGTCATTCAGTATTTAACAAAAAGGTTGGCTACTTAAATAGGCTATATAGTTGAATATTGGAGTTGCTTTCTATGAAACATATGTAAACAAGTTTTAGGATGAATTTTTTTTGGTTTAATACACTTGTATATCCAAAAGTATCACGATTGTGCCAATAATATTCAAAAATCCGGAAATACCACTTATATCCATGTTTTAAAGTTGTTCTTTGCCAAATCTATCCACTTCCGTTAAATACTTTCACGACGTTAATAACTCCGTCAACATAGCTGACGACAAGCTGATTGTACGCTAACTATGCAGACACGTAAGCGCCAACTACGCCAAAAGTGCCACGTAAGAATGAATTAAAAAATAATAATTAATTTTTTTTAAAAAAAAACCTAATCCCACATATTCCCACTTAAGACGAACAACGAGGACGTTCAGTCCCCCTTTCTCCTTTCGATTTTAGGGTTCGCACAAAATCTCCTCCTGCCGACTGAGCCTCCTCCAGGCGATTGAAGATCCTCCCGCCGACTGTATATACTCCCTGGGATTGCCCTAGTCTAGGTTTTTTCCCCACATTTCCAATCTAGGTTTTTTCAGAATTGGTCAGCCAGAGCATCTCAAAACAAAACAATTCGATCAAATCCCTAGCCGGGAAACGAAAAAGGAGAGGAATTTCATTGAGGGCGAACCTGAAACCAGTAGGAATCGGAGGATTGAGAAGGTTGCTCGCCGCCGTCAATGCATTGGCCGGGGATCTCGAACATAGAGAAAGTGAACTACTTATCCACCACCCCGACATCAAAGTGAATCAAACCAGTTTTGGGGTCGTCGACGCGGATCCCTTTCACGGGGAACCAGAGGAAGAGCTCCTGGATCTTGCCCAGGGACAGGAGGCCGGAGATTTTGAAATCGTAATGGAGCTGGTTCTCCAGCTTGATGTTGCAAGGCTGGGTGAGGTTTATCTGGAACCGCCCCGTGGCTGAGTCGACGGAGAAGTTCGTTATCCCCTCAGGGAAGAGCCCGATCGGGAGGCCGTTCTTGTTGAGGTAGTCGTAGATGGTGGGTGCGTTGGCCGCCGCCGCCGCCGCGTCGGTGGAAATCGAGAGGAAGAGGCAGAGCAGCAAGGGGAAATTGTGATTTCGCAGGGCGGCCATGGTGTGGGAAGGATTTTCTTTCCCCTGGCTTTGCGAGGGTTTCCTCCTGGCTTAAGAAATGGGGGCAATTGAATTTTTTTTGTTTAATTTTTTTAAATAAAATTAATTAGCAATACACGTGGATAAGTAAAGAGGAATTGAGAAATAAGCGTTCGCCACGTAAGCACCGTCGTTTGTCCAGTCAAACCCTATGTTAACACCATCAAAGAATGTGACGGAGTTGGATATAAGTGGTATTTCCGGATTTTTGGATATTATTGGCACAACCATGATACTTTTGGATATACAAGTGTATTAAACCATTTTTTTGGGTAAATACAATATATTACCTCCACTCCTGTTCTTGAATCCCTCGCCGTCGTTTCCCGGTCCTTCATCTCCCTCGCCTGAGTTGCTGTTGCTAGTTTCCCCGACCAGAGTCTCCCTCGGCTTAGATCCCCTTGATTACGTTGCCATCCTCTTCTGCCGACCCAGATTTCGTCTGCCTCGCCGCCATAGTTGAACTTTCTAGGTACACTGCGATTTTATGCCTAATTCATCTCATAACTTGTTCAACGGCCCAATTGCGTGCAGTTTCTTTCTTGTTTTGGGTTTGTGTTGATAATTTTCGCCGTTGTCGATTCTCTTGGAGGCGGTTTTGAACATCCTAGTAGTGTTTTCAGCTCTAGTTTAGTAGTAGTGTTTTGTAATTTCTGGGAATAAAATATGTAAGGGGTGTTCTCTATTTTTGTACGTTGTAGTAGTGTTCTTCATATCTAAGGTGGTAGTTTTTTTTATTATTTGGGCATTATTTTGGTAGTGTTCTTCAATTTTTGCAGGACCTAGTGGTGTTCTTCAGATCTAGCATTAGTAGTGATTCTACAAGTAGTAGTTTTTGTAATTTTTGGAAATAAAATATGTAAGGACCTAGTAGTGTTCTTCAGATCTAGCATTAGTAGTGATTCTACAAGTAGTAGTGTTTTGTAATTTTTGGAAATGAAATATGTAAGTGGTTTCTCTTTGTATGTTGTAGCAATGTTCTTCAGATCTTCAGTGGTAGTGTTGTAGTTGTTTGGGCATTATTTTGGTAGTGTTCTCCAATTTTTGCACGACCTAGTAGTGCTCTTCGGATTAATCATTAGTAGTGATTCTGATAGTAGCCTTTCTATTGGAGTTGCAGACGTTGCTGACAATATGATATCCCTCCCCGCAAACACATCTCCCTTCAAGATCACCATATCACAAAAAATGAAGAATAAAGTATAAACCCTCTCTCCAGATTCAGAAATATAAATCGTCTATCAAAGGATCCTGCAAATGCGGCCCCTATCACTAAAAACAAAATCTAATATTTAATATTTTTTGCTTCTATTCCTATTGTACCCTTTGTCTATTTTAGTCATTAGATCTTAAATAAAAATGAACAGTTTAGATGATAGTTAGGATGGTGCTAACCCCTATGGAGTTAGCACCCTAGCTTCTCCCGACGATGAACCCTACTTCTCTTTCTTCAACTTTCTTTTAGGTTTTGATTTTTGAATGAATTACCGTTTTGGCCCTCCAACTCCTTCCGTTCTCTATTGTTGAAAATTGGGAAAACAACCCATAAACGAATTTTGAATCTATTTTTCTTTTCGATTATTTCACAACTATCATGATTCAAGCCATGTTTATGTACCCACAAATGTCAAATTTGGACCTCCATATATAGCCATGTATAATCGAATGTTCCAAGAACTATCATCTATCTACAAATTCGATTGAACAAGAGAGCACTTATATCAAGTAGTGCCGCACTTCATCAGCTCCGACCAGATTAACATTACTTATTAGCATCATAGTTATATAATGCATTAAGAATGTTATAGTTACTACTTACTACACACTCCTAAGTTCTAACATCTCCTTTCCCTTCCTTCTTCTCATCTTCTCATGGATTTGAGTATAATAGGTAAATTATAATTTCATACCTAAATCTAACAAATATTAAGATTTAGTACCTCAAATTAATTTATCATATATATGGGCCAGACTGATATACTTTTAGATTATAAGATACTTCAGGTACTCTTAATGGTATAATATACCCGAAAAATCAATTTAATAGATTATGGTCTAATTAGAGTGCAACGTTTGCTGACATATGATTGCATTGTTTGGTTTATTGATTTCTCAGAAGTAATTATGGATGAAGTATATATTCTTTTAGGATCTTTCTCGTTTCGTTCATATCATTTTCTTCTTCGGAGCTTTGCCAAAGCTGCCTATTTAGCTTCACTAACACTTCCTCAGAATTAATGTTTCAGATTTCTCGAAAAGGTTCTCAACAACGATTATGATTCTGATTCTGATTTTGATGCTTTTGATGAGGATGTTGAACATGAAAACCTAACCGTGTCAAAAAGGACACAATTGCTTGAGGCTTTACCCATACAGATTGAGAATGAAGGAGAAACTCAAACTCGCCAAACGCTAGGTCCATCAAGGATTCAACCACCAAAGCTAGAGCAAAAGCCACTACCTAGTCACCTCAAATATGCATATTTGGGTAAGGATTCCACATTGCCTGTCATAATTTCGGCTTCACTAACACTTCCTCAGGAACAAGAGCTTTTGAGAATCTCGCAACGACATATCAAAGCCATAGGATGGACTATTGCCGACATTACGGGTATAAGTCCAACTTTTTGTATGCATAAGATACTCATGGAAGAGGGTTACAAACCCTCAATCCAAGCCCAAAGGAGGCTCAATCCACATATGAAGGAAGTTGTGAGAAAGGAAGTAATGAAACTATTAGATGTAGGAATTATGCAGCAAGTGAGTGAGTCCTATGCAGGTTGAGCTCATACCAACTCGAACGGTCACCGGATGGCGTGTTTGTATCGATTATAGGAAGTTAAATGAGGCAACCCGAAAGGATCACTTTCCACTTCCTTTCATCGATCAAATGCTCTAACGGTTGGCTGGTCATTCTCACTATTGCTTTTTAGATGGCTACTCCGGCTACTTTCAAATTCCAATTGCACCGGAGGACCAAGAGAAAACAGCTTTTACATGTCCTCAAGGAGTTTTTGCATACCGAAGAATGCCATTTGGGTTGTGCAACGCACCGGCTACCTTCCAACGGTGCATGATAGCTATCTTCTCCGACATGATAGAAAGAAGTCTTGAAGTTTTCATGGATGACTTCTCAACTTTTGGTACCAATTTTGAACATTGTCTAGCTAACTTGTCTAAGGTTTTGCAGCGATGTGAAGAGACCAATTTAGTCCTTAATTGGGAGAAGTGTCACTTTATGGTGACGGAAGGTATAGTACTTGGACATCGCATTTCATCTAGGGGGATTGAGGTTCACAAAGCTAAAATTGAAGTTATAGAACGACTTCCCCCACCTAGCAACGTGAAAGGAATTAGAAGTTTCTTAGGACATGTCGATTTTTACCGGAGGTTCATTAAAGATTTTTCTAAGATCACTAAACCCTTATGTGAATTGTTAGCAAAAGACAATGCTTTCAACTTTTCTGATGAGTGTTTGCAGGCTTTCAACAAGCTTAAGAAGGAGCTCACATCCGCACCTATTATCACATCACCCGATTGGAATCTTCCATTTGAATTAATGTGTGATGCTAGTGATTATGCAGTAGGGGCTGTTTTGGGGCAGCGGAAAGAAGGGAAGTTACATGCCATTTACTATGCAAGTAAACTCCTTAATGATGGACAAATGAATTATGCGACAACTGAGAAAGAATTACTTGCGGTAGTTTATGCATTTGAGAAGTTTCGATCATATTTAATGGGTTCAAAAACCATTGTGTACACTGATCATGCAGCCATCAAACACCTTCTTTCTGAGAAGGAAGCCAAACCTAGGCTACTTCGTTGGTTTATTGATTTCTCAAAAGTCAAAAGTAATTATGGATGAAGTATATATTCTTTTAGGATCTTTCTCGTTTCGTTCATATCATTTTCTTCTTTGGAGCTTTGTCAAAGCTGCCTATTCAGTTGACTATTTCATCGATATTCCAGCTACATCCGATCGACAATTTGTGATTCTTTTTCAGTCTTGTAATTAAGTTGTTCGGTTAGCTTATCTTGCTTAAAAAATGTAACCCCATCGATCGAATGAGTACTTCTGTTACCTCCTCCACATGGGGCTTTGTCTTCAAAGGAGGTCTTAGTTACAAAGCCACCGAGGCCTACTATCAGGCTTGTGCAATTACGGTCATGGAGAAGGATATCCAAGCTGGCTTCTGGTTAATAACACCGCTCAAGATAGCATGGAAATGTTGTAGTAATTCCATTTCCACATAGATTTAGAGACTAAATCTACTTGTAGAAGTAACAACAAAGTGTCAAGGGCAAACGAAAAACAAAAAACAAAAAACCCGTCTTACCTTCAAAATGAACACTAAGCTATAGATCAAACATCCTCGCATTATTTATGAGAAAATAGGATTAAGCGTAGCTCCAAAATTAACATTGGCGATAGATCAAATATCGCCACATCATTTACAGGAACAAAGGATTAAGTGTCAGCCTCGTCGTTCCAAAAATATATGATCTCTGCTTCTTTGGAAGCGCGCTTATATTGTGTCATCTCCTTCAAGAATTTGTGACTTTTACTAGTATCCAGTTTTTCCGCTGGCCTGATGAAAATCCTACGAAGCAGTGGGGCAGTGGCTAGTACAAACCTCAACAGGTCCAACTCAACACGAGTGCCCAGGACTGCCTTTAAGCTCAACTCTTCAAGGCACTGAAAACAACTTGCAGTAGAATGGTCCTCTGCTCCCAACAACAACGGTAAGCTGTCAATAACCTCATTTTGTGGAAGGGTATCGTCAGCACCGGTCTACAACATCATTCATCATAATAATAAAAGTCAGGCTATAGAATCAACAATGATACTGGTATATTCTGCAAAAACTAAAAATTTCAGTTAAAAGAGACATTCAAACCAACCAAAATGAGAAGCCTTTGCAAATTGGGGGAACTCCTTATTAGACAGAGAAGAACACGCG